ATTTTGTCAGGCATTCAAACATTATTTAGACATGGTTAAATGAATACACGTATTTAACATAGCATTGTAATTCATTAAAATTGTTTGTATCTATGCACAAAAATGTTAAATTGTATTTCTGTCTCTTTTTTTCATCTTGATTCATTAATTAGACTAGACTTTAAATTTTCATTGACAAAACAAGAATAAGATGCTGTTTTATTATTATTATTATTATATTGTTGCATGTCCTATTTGTCGGGTATTCTGCTCAACAGAGACCTACAGTATATACGCAAACAGTAGCTGTCATTTTTCACATGTACTGATGGTTATTCACCTGCCCAAACATGCCAGGATTCTTTCTCAAGCCGATAATAAAACAAAAACAGAAACATAAGAGCTGCTACCATCATAGAAAAGAGCAAAATGAGTTTCAATACTGCTTCTGTTTAATGATATATTCTGTTTTATGCTTCTGTCAGGAAGTAGTCAAGGTTTAACAGCTGTGAGTGAACACTATTTGGCATTTGTTTACACGGCAGCGTTGTATCCATTATGCTGGATTACACACGAGTTATCTTTGGCATCACAGCATGAAACCAGTGAGGAGTTTTGCAGCCAGCATCAACACAGAGAACAGATAAATGTCAACCCTGAAATGTTGTACTCTATGATTTATATTTATTTGTAGATTATTTCTAACACAGCACAGCAAAACCGGTGAGGTTTGCTTGACTTAGTTTGTATTATTAATCAGGGGTCGCCACAGCAAAATGAACCACCAACTTATCCAGCATACGTTTTACGCAGCAGATGCCCTTCCAGCTGCAACCCAACACTTGGAAACACCCATACACACATACACTACGGCCACTTCAGCTTATTCAATTCACCTATACCACATGTCTTTGGACTATGGGGGGAACTGGAGCATCCAGAGGAAACCCATGCGAACATTGGGAGAACTTGCAAACTCCACTCAGAAATGCCAGCTGACCCAGCCGGGGCTCAAACCAGTGACCTTCTTACTGTAAGGTGATTGTACTACCCACTGCACCACTGTGACGCCCCTATTTATTATATATATATATTTAGTTCTTCATGTTTTTTTGAAGTTGACATTTAACCACAGGCTCTTTAGTTCGCACTTTCAGAATCCGTGAAAGATTTGCTGATAAGTCTGAGCTGCTTTGATGAAGAATAAGAAGACAAAATATGAAGCAGATGGAAAGGGCAGAAATTGTTCATGCTTTGATGTAGGTGTTATGTTTTTTCTCTATTTTGTTCAGTTTAAATGTTTTTTTGTTTTTTTTCTTTGGGTTCTTGATTAAATCTTTAGATTATTGTGTTAATTAATTGAAAGGCCGAATTCCAATAACAAAAATAACCAAAAACATTTTATGTGACTTCAGTGGTTTTAACTGTAATCATACGAGGTTCCATTTATTTCAATTTCATATATGGGCCATTTAAGGCAAATATTTGGCACTTATGGCAAAATGTAATCTGAATGTGAGCCTAATGTGGCCCGTGTGAAAAATGATAAATTTGGCCCAAAGGAAAAATGTGGGCCACAGTTGGCAAAATAGTGGCATAGTCATTTAAGGGAAATCTGGGTCTAAACCTAAAGTGGCTCTCATGTGTAGGTGCAAATGTGGCCCAGTTATCTTAAGACAGATGTGGGCCACTTTTGGCAAATATTTGGGACAGTAAATTCTGGCTATTGCGGCTGTGAACCTAATGTGGCCCATTAGCATATGTTTTTCGCAGCGGATGCCCTACCAGCCGCAACTCAACACTGGGAAACACCCACACACTCAGATTTACTACGGCCAATTTAGCTTATTCAATTCACCTTTACCAAATGTCTTTGGACTGTGAGGGAAACTGGAGCACCTGGAGGAAACCCACGCAAACACGAGGAGAACATGCAAACTCCACACAGAAATACCAACTGACCCATCCCAGGCTTGAGCAGCGCTTGTGCTACCCACTACACCATTGTGGTGCCCAACATGTATACATACATTAATTCATTCATTTTCTTTTCGGCTTAGTCCCTTTATTAATCTGGGGTCGCCACAGCGGAATGAACCACCAACATATCTAGCACGTTTTTTTTTACACAGCGGATGCCCTTTCAGCCACAACCCATCGCTGGAAAACACATGTATACACTATTATCCAATTCACCTCTAGATGTCTTTGGAATGGGACAGGAAACAAAGCACCCAAAGGGAACCACGCAGACGCCACAAGAACATGCAAACTCTGCACAGAAAGGCTTCTTGTTCAGATGGGACTTGAACCAGCAACCTTTTTGCTGTTAGGCGATAGTGCTACTCACCAAGTCACTTTTTTGTTCTACTGTCTTGTTACTAACAAAGTGAATCTACAAGAAAAAAACATTTGCGATATTTGCTGTCGACAACCTGTTTCCACCAAAATATTCAACATAATGCATTTACATTACATTTACATCAGGGGTGCTCAATCCTGTTCCTGGAGATCTACCTTCCTGCAGATTTCAGTTGCTACCCATATCAAACACACCTAAACCAATTAATTAGGACCTGAAACCAATTAATTAGGACCTGAACACCACTTGATAATTACAGGCAGGTGTGTTTAATTTACATTTAGTCATTTAGCAGACGCTTTTATCCAAAGTGACTTACAAATGAGGACAAGGAAGCAATTTACACAACTATAAGAGCAACAATGAATAAGTTCTATAGGCAAGTTTCAGGTTTGTAAAGAAAGTGTAAGAAGCGAAACATTAGTAATTTAAAAAAAAAAATTTTTATGTAGTTAGTGGAGGAGTCAGAGAGGGAATTGCATATTAGTGAGGAAAGTGGAGACTGCCGTTCTGATGCAGTTAGGGAGTTCATTTCACCAACTGGGCAGATTAAATGTGAGAGTTCGGGAAAGTGATTTCCTCCCTCTTTGTGATGGAACCATGAGGTGACGTTCATTCACAGAACGCAAGTTTCTGGAGGGCACATAAATCTGCAGAAGTGAGAGCAGATAAGAAGGGGCGCAGCCAGAAATCGCTTTGTAAGCAAACATCAGAGCTTTGAATTTGATGCGAGCAGCAACTGGCAGCCAGTGCAAGTGGATGAGTAGCGGAGTGACATGTGCTCTTTTAGGTTCATTAAAGACCATTCGTGCTGCTGCGTTCTGAAGCATCTGAAGAGGCTTGATAGAGCTAGCTGGGAGCTCGGCTAGTAGAGAGTTGCAATAGTCCAGTCTGGAGAGAACAAGAGCTTGAACAAGGAGTTGGGCTGCATGTTCAGATAGGAAGGGTCGGACCTTTCTGATGTAGAGTGCGAATCTGCACAATCGAGCAGTTCTAGAAATGTGGTCAGAGAAGTTTACCTGGTCATCAATCGTTACTCCAAGGCTTTTCACAATTTTGGATGCAGTAATGGTTGCCCCATCCATCTGGATTGAAAAGTTGTGATGTAAAGTCGGGTTGGCAGAAACTGTAAACATTTCCGTTTTCGTGAGGTTACGCTGAAGATGATGATCTTTCATCCAGTGTGAAATGTCTGACAGGCAGGCTGACATGCGAGCCGGAACCAAGGGATCATCATGGTAAAAAGAGAGGTATAGCTGGGTATCATCAGCATTGTAGTGGTAGGAGAATCCATGTTTCTGGATGACTGATCCTAAAGATGTTGTGTAGATGGAGAAAAGAAGTAGAAGTAATTCTCCACAGATAGAGGAGTAATACTCCACAGATGGAGAAGTAATAATCCACAGCACAGTCCATTAATCTGCTATGTGTGATGTTAAGGCTGGTAAATGGGAAGTATTGCAAAGTCTTGGTGTATATCAACAGAAATTTGTTATTTTCCATAAAATTTTCCAAATTTTAAATTTAATTTTTTCCAAATTAATTATTTTCCATATTTTTTTGTATTTTTTCATACATTTCGTTATATAGCAAATTACTCCACGCCCCCCTTCCCTCCGGTATTGACATCACATTTGTGAAAGTCCCTTACTTTGACAAAAAACTGTTTTCAAAGTATAACTTACGATATCTAAAAAAAAAATAATAATAATAATAATAATAATAATTATATATAATTCATTCACTGAAGTTAAACGGAAAAAGTGTTCTGTCAACATTTGCTTAACCTATTGGACAATTAACATTTACGGTAAATATTTAGAGACAGTAAACCTTTTTTACAGAAATAAATAAATCAGTCACGCTTTATTTTGATAGTCTGTTTGTTGAATTTAAGTTACATTACATCTACATGCCAACTAATTCTCATTAGATTATAAGGAGACTGTTACATTGGGGTTTGTGTAAGTTGACATGACATTTCTTATAGTCAGTTAAATAACTGTTGAAGGAGCATGTTAACAGATATTAAGCAGACAGTCTACTAATACTCAAGTGGACCATCAAAATCCTTTAAATAGAAACCATTTGTGGAGCTGATTGAGCAGAAGTTAAAGAGTTGGATTAAAGAACCAGCATGGAGCTTAAGGTTGGAGGAAACAACCAAGGCATACAAACACATGACGATGAATGGCTACACAACAGGCACAGGTGAACGCAATCATTGGACCAGTGAGTAACCATACAGGAGCAAAAGGAACTAGATTTAACAAAACAATTCAAACAAAAACATGAACCAAATACAACATAATGTCAGTGTGTTTATGATACGGCTCTTATATTATGGTGGCAGGTGTGTTTGTAGTAGTTTGCGTGCCGAGTTGCGGTACATTGTTGCTTATTTCTTACTTTGAAAATACCTGCTGCTAGCTTTAGGCAAAATTACACAACTCACTTGCATACTGAGGTCCAATAGAGAGATGCAAAATGTTTTGGTGCTGTTAGTTTTATATCAGCACTTTCAGAATTGTTAGCCAATCACATCCAACGGCTATCGTTATCAAATTAAAATCATGTTAACAATATTTTCTCCTAAACATTTCTATATCCTCTTGTTTCCCCACCAGCCAGACACATGAGGGTGTTGCTGAAGACATGGGTTGATGGGTTGAGATGCAGGTGAGGAAACGATTGACTGAAGGGAGATTTCCTTGACAAGCGCTCCTCGGGGTATAGTGCTCATCACAGCGATCGAAAAGAGCGATGCAGTTCACAACAAGAGCAACCCGACACACACATGTACAGCACTGGGGAATTCCTCAGGACACCTTTAAGACAAGAGATGAGAGCTGGAAAAAGCTTCTCTCTCCCTCCTGTGTGCTTCATTTGCTCCACCTATCCCTCTGTTTAAGGTCGACCCCTCCTTTCTCCAGCTGACTTATTCTCATTTAAATGTCTGCGGGGTAAAACACCTCTCCCTGCTCATAACTCACAGGTGAAGTTTACACTCCCCTTCACAGCGAGTGTACAGCAATGTACGACCGGCCTCCGTCCAAAGAGAAACTTCTTCACAGTTATGGAGACTCCTTTGAGCAACAGAAGTTTGGATTTTAATCAGTGCTTTGAATTCTTTGTTGTTTGATTATATGTTTGCTGAAATCATAAAACGGGACGGCAGAAGTGAATAAGATGTCCTTTCAATTACGAGTAAGGTCTTTTACCTGTGTGCGGATGTAAGGATGGTCTCTGGGCTTTGAGAATGGCATTGTTTCAGTCTGGCTGTGTGTGAATGGAGCTGAGAGAGTGGAGACCCTGATGTCGGAGCTGCCGCTGCTGGCCTGTGTGCTCCTGTCCTGGATCATCACCTGCCATTCTGGACCGTGGAGACCATGCACAGGTCAGATATATTACTCGCTGATTTAACAGGCTAAATTGTTTCTTTTTTTTTTTTTTTGAGAAATTATCCCCAGAAATTAAGCTGTTTAAAACATTTATTTTAGACCGTTTTAGTTTTTCTTACTTTAATTTACTAGAGTGAATCAAAACAAGATATGGCTTTTTTTATTAATTTATTTATTCATTCATTCATTTTCTTTTCGGCTTAGTCCCTTTATTTATTTGTTTATTTATGTATTTGTTTGTTTGTTGATATATTTATTTATTTTTTCATTCATTTTCTTTTCGGCATAGTCCCTTTATTTAGTTATTTGTTAATTTATTTATTCATTCAATTTCTTTATGGCTTTGTCTCTTTATTTATTTATTTGTTTGTTTAATTGTTTATTTGTTTGTTTATTTATGTGTTAAATAATTAATTAATTTATTCATTTTATTTTTGGCTTAGTCCCTTTATTTATTTATTTATTTATTTACTCATTTTTTTGCTTAGTCCCTTTATTTATTTATTTATTTATTTATTTATTTATTTATTGTGCTAATTTATTTTAATAAAATGAAGCTCCTATTGTTCAGAAGTTTGCATTTGGATTTTTAAAAAAATCTTTTTTAAGAAGTATCTTGTTTTAATCAATTTAATCATTCATTTGATCAAAAATATGGTAATACTGTTACAAATTTAAAAATACAAATACCAAACATACATTTTACATATTAAAAAAATATAGTCTCATCATGTATTTATTTGATCACACAGTGTAATGACATTATATCAGTAATATTAAGATTTGTGAAAGAAATGTATAAATATAATTTAATTTAAAAAAATACAAATACTAAACATACATATTGCTTATTAAAGGTCCAGTCTCATCAAGATTTAATTCATTTGATCCAAATTTGGTAAAATTATAAATTATAAAAGATATTATAATTGTAATAGTAAAATTAGTGATAAAATATATTTTTAATTTAAAAATTTAAATATTCAACATATTTTTCAGTTTTCTGTCTCATCTAACCTCAGTGTTATTTTAGTATCTGAGTGATTATTCATTTTTATTAATACTTTGAATTAGTTTTTTTAGCCTTTTCTGTTTACATTTTACATTGATTTTGTTTTATTTAAATATGTCTATTATTACCTTTTTATTTTTTATTTTTTTCTAAAATATAGAGTACATAATATTCTGTCAGTCTATTTTATTTCCGATGAAATAATTTTAGGTTTATTGAAGTTTAAAAGTGTCCCTGTTGTTAAAGACGATGTTTAACTCTGAGTCTCAGTCATAACTTGTCCCTGTTAAAAACATTATTTGAGTCATGTTATTCTTTGTAATTATTGCTGATTTTCCAGTGAATTGCCATTAGATTATGGGCTTTGCATTCAGCAAACCATTTAGGAAAACTAATTAAAGACAGATGTTCGTGATCACAGAGAATAAAATTAGGGCAAGGAAGAAAAAAAAACTCTTGTAATTGAGACACATATGTCAATAATAGTTGTTTGTTTGTTTATTTTTTTACTTGGTCAGAATGAGTCTGGACGTTTGTAACGCTAAAAAAGACACAGATTAGATGTGGTTACAGGTGCTGATTTAAAACCTTTCATGAAGCCTCTGTTGTTACACTGTGGTTTTATCTGAAATGCACCGTAAAATGACAATTAGAGAGCATTTCTAACTCTTGTACATCTCCTCACTGTTTGTAACAATTGTTGCTTGAGTAAAATGTCTTTAAATGTTATCTGCACTAGTTAGGGACACTGTCTGAATATGGGATGTCATTGAAAACATGATACGGTTTTAGAACAGAGCAAACACAAAATTGCCAGAACACCTAATACACTTTTAGTAAACAGAAAAAAAAAAAAAAAAAAAAAGATGTGGTAAAAGATCAAACCAGGCGCGGACGTTTATGACATTTCTGCCTCTTTCATTTCTCATCTTGTATATGAGCTATAAGATTGAAAATCATAAAGGGGCTTATAATAGTAGAGGAATAGATTTAGATTTCCCTCTGGGCGCAGTAAACCTGCTAACATGTAGATGCAGATCTATTGGTAACATCTTGAGGTAGCATTTAAATAGAATAAATGACATTGTTTTATCCCACAGAATGCTATAAAAACATTCAATGGCAAAGTTTTTGACAGATTTTTTGACTAAAGCATTGCTGACTTGGTAATCAGATTCAGTTCTGAACAACTTCAAACATTCCTGTTTATTTTCCTGTTTATGCATTTATTCAAGCCAAATATTTAAATAAATTGTTCTGAATGAATCATACTATTTTTACAAACTAAAACAATGTTAAGACTTGTGACTGAGTTTATAATCAGACATTAATCAGGATTTGACTGAAGACTATATCTGACCTCTTAGATTGTGTTTTATGTTTGTGTTAGTATGGTCTTGACCATAAAAAGAGAATTATACATTTGGTTCTGGTTCATTTAGCATTCACATTAAGATTTTAAAGACCAAACCTAAAGATTTCTGCCTCTTTCATATGCTTTTTCTATGAGATGACACGAGTTCATAATGCTTCATAAGATCTTAAGACAAGTATTTAGGTGTTTAAATAAAATTGTATTTATATAATTTTAATATTGTGCCCCAGAGGATATTAATGGCAATGTTTTTGACCGATTTATTGCTGATTTGGTTAGTAATCTATTATGTAATCTTTCTGGAAATCTGCTAAATTATTCTTATTTGTAATTAAAGTGTATTCAAGCTTTCTACTAATAGCCTATAGAAAGAAGAAGGATGAAAAGTGTATAGTATACCTCGTTTTCTTTATCAGCATTACTGAATCTGAACAGACAGGCATACTGAAAACCCAGAGCATTCGTGAATGTGAGATATTTTGAAAAGGATTGTTTGCTTTCCAAAATGTGTCTTTTGCTTGGCTTAAAAGTCTTTGAAATATGATCCATAACATGTTCCTCGCTCTAACCATTTCCCTCTTTGATTTACTGAAGTGAATCGAAACAAAACTCAAGCACTTGGCCTTTGATTCTTTCATTTATATAACTTGAATGATTTCAAAGATACGTGTAAATAAACATAGACTAAAAAGTGCTGTAAAATGGTAATATTTTAACTGTTAATACCCCCTTTTTTACTATTTTGATACTTTTTTAATGTTTTGAATTAATAAAATAAATGAAGTCTTGGTTAAGTTGGTTATGTTGTTCTTCAAAGCATTAAAACATCATCAAAACACGTTTCTAATTCAGTGATCCTTCAAAAATCATTCTTATACATTATTTTTATATTCATTTATTATTATCAGAAGTGTTAAAACCAGATTAGGTTATTTAGGTTCTAGACATGAAAGATTTTAGACATTCTTATTAAAATGTCAGAATAATGTTTGCAAAATGCATACAAAGTTGATTTGCTTTTAAAATATTTACAGTTTTTAAGATTGTGATTACATAATCAGTTGGATTATTGGATTACTTATCAAACACTCTGTAATAATAGACAAAGCAATAGTGTTTGTGTGACTACTGTCAAATTCAATAGAGTCAGCAAAGCACCATCTTTTAGTTTGCTGTGATTGTTTAAAAAATAAAGTAGGACAGACATTCACAAACTGTTGTTTTAGCGTACTTGTTTCAGTATACTTTTTTTTTTAACTAAAGATAAAGTTGTAATATTACTAAATACTAAATAATAATAAAAATGAACTGATGATACGACATGCTTTTCTTCTACAGATCTGTTACCACTCGACCTCCTGTCCCGGGTGATTCCCATGGCCAGCAGGGTGCAGGATGGTATACGCATGGTCCAGTCCAGAGGTGCTCGAGGATTCCAGTTTTCTGGATCTCCACAGCTGTTCAGCTTCCCTTCCTCTCAGCTCTTTATTAACTGTCACATCTTTCCCACCGAATTCTCCATCATCGTCACATTCAAAATCCCACAAGTGGCTCCTGAGGTCAGAACAAATAATATGTTTCAGCCTCTTCCTTTGCATTTATGAATAGTGATAGAGATTCATTTCTTTGATTTGCAGAAAAGTGAATACATATTTACAGTGTTGGAGGCGGATTCAGATGAGCTGCTTCTCGGCCTGCGTCTGTCCCATGATAAACTCCACTTCCTGCACAAGGGCCATGGGAGCAGGAAACGCATCACTTTTAAGGCAGTAGGGCTGGATGATGACCGCTGGCACACTTTGGTTTTAGCGGTGACGGGATGCTACACAATCCTCACTGTAGATTGTGGCACACCTCTTGAGCTGTAAGACTCTGATTAATGTAATTATTTAAAATTCTATTAAAAAAGTATGTGACCGTGGACCTCAAAACCAACCATAAAGGTAAATTATTTTGGAATTTGTCATGTGTACATCACATGAAAGTTGAATAAATAAGCTTTACATTGATGTATGTTTGTTAGTATGGGACAATATTTGGTTAATTTAAAATTCTCGAAAATATAGAAAAAAATTAACCTTTAAAGTTCCAAATTAAGTTCTTAGCATTGCATATTACTAATCAAAAATTATATTTAGGTACATTTATGATAGGAAATTTACCAAATTTCTTCATGAAAAAATCTTTACTTAATATTTCAATGAGTTTTTGCATCTTGTCCAATGTATTTGTGGCTATTGCCACGAATATGCTCATGCAACTTAAGACTTATTTTGAGATCCAGGGTGAAATTTATTATTCCATAGATCATAATATCACAATATATCAATATAGCATGTATTCAATATATCATAAAAGGACTGTTTTGTCTTAAACAGGTTGCTTGAAAGGCCCTTCCCCGAAGATCTTGATACAGCTGGCTCCACATTCTTCATTGCCAGCAGAAGGAGATGGAATGGCTTATTTTCTGTACATATAATTTTTCATCATTTTACTGAAGTGTTTCTGTGATGTTTTCTTTGGATATTAGCACTGTGGTGTGTAAAAAAACACTTTGTGAATGCAAAAAAAAAATAAGATATTGTCTCCCTAAACGAAGAAGAATAAGTAACAGATTCTTTACTGCCTGAAACAAAATTGTCAGCTATTCCAGTTATTATAATTTGGTAAAACTTAGTGCTAATGAGACCTCCATAGCTGAATTTCAGATATTGATACAGACATTTGATGTCTGAAAGTCTGTAATTTGTTGACTGTTTACAACAAATTAGGCAAGGGGTCACCAAACTCCTTCCTGGAGGGCTCCAAACCTAAACAAACACACCTGGAACAAAGTAACCAGTATCTTACTAGGTATACTAGAAACTTCCAAGCAGGTGTGTTGAGTTAGAGCTAAACTCTGCAGGACTGAGATTGATGACCCCTGGACTAGGCCATCTGACCAATCAAAGCAGAGTATACTCTAAAGAAAGACAGTGTTTGGAGTGACCAGATCATCAAACATACCATTTCAGACAGAAGGAGAAGAGGTGATGCTGAGATGTGTAACATGAAAACATAAAATTACTTTTAAATTATTATTTTGTAAATTATTTTTACACCAAAAATAAAGCCAAAGCAAAAACAGAAACTTTTAAGATCAACTATGTACTTACAAATCTATATCTAACATTTCATTCCACTGATTTCTTTTTATTTTATTGTTTATTTTTCGCAGGGTCTGATGCGACAGCTAGTTCTGTTGCCTGGTTCAGATGCTACCTCACAAATATGTCCCTCATCTGAGCCCCGGCTATCTGCACTCTCAATTCCCCAGACCCTCTTACACCTGCCAATCAAGCCATCGTCCACTGATCTTCCCCTCCATCCGTATGGTGAGAACAGTAAAACACTCTCTGGAAGCTTTGGCAGCATGTCAATTTGCATGCCAGTTACTTAGGTATCTGCTTAGCTGGAGATAGAAAAGCAAATGCACCATACTGTGCAAAAGTCTTAGGCCTCCATTAGTTTTAGTTTTGTGTTTTAGCAAAACTTTAATGACTATCCACATTTATGTTTTGGTGTCAAGTTGAACTGTGTGGACATACAGTGGAAAGATATGGTTTGTCATGCAGGACCACGGTTATAGCGAAACATAATCATAAATATGAACACAATGCTGGACAAAAGAGCAGTTTTAGTATAGCTAAGATATTGTAGTGGAAATCTAAATATAAATATACTATTAACAGTCGACTAAACACAGGCATCTCTCAGCACATTACTCTTTAGGCATCTTTATTTTTATTTAATCTGTTTATGTAATACCGTACTGTCTCTATAATATTCAGGTCTGGGCTCTGTGGAGGCCATTTTATCACTGTCAGTGTTTAACCGGTTGTTTTCACTCCAGATTTGATTTCATAGTTCAGATGAACATTTTTCCATTGGCAAAACAAAGTAGAAAGAAAAAAAGTAACACAGCATTTTTTTTGTGTCAAAAAGACATCTAATAGACATCTAAATGTAGATGTCTTGGCTAAAACAAGACGAAATTTCGGCTTTAAAAATCTAACAATAGTCCAAAAAATAGACTAACCATCAAATAGACAGGAATGAACGACTACACAAGTGAAGTCTGTCTAATCTATTTTTGGGCTTTTGTTAGACATCTATTATAAGCATTTGTCTTTGTCCTGTAACTTCATATTGAAATTCTTGACATGTAGAAAAAAAACTAACTGTAAAGTAATCTTCAAGAGGTGTGGGTATTATCGGTTGCTTTATGTGTAACTAGTGTCCATAGGTCTGCAGAAAGGTGTCCTATAGGAATGCCGTGTGTTTTTGCTGTAAACACAAGTCTGTGATTGTATGGGGATGTGAGTAACTCTATCTCACAAGTGTGTTACTGATCCACTGACACTGACTGACAGCCTTGTGCTTTGAGTTTCTCTATGGCTCAGAAGAAGTGCTGGTGTTTGAAAACAGAGCTCACTGTTGTGCTGTATACTGTGGGCCTGTTGAGAGACATGACACAGGGCAGTGAGAGGCCATGTTGATTTATTTCCTCTTATATAATGTAGTCTCAGGTACATTTAGGTCTGTCTGTCTGTCTGTCTCTCTCTCTGTCTCTGTCTGTGGGGCAAAGACAAATAGCCCTATTTTAAAATGAACTTAAAATTACAAAAGTGATATAAAGTGTCTACTTTCATGTTTGAAATTACATCTGTTATTTAAAATATAATATACATTTCATAAGTTCCCCTGCCCATTTAGTCGTGATAGACAATGGTAAATAAACTTGGCTTGCTGCTCAAGGTTTGACTCTAGCTGTGCATTCAAACTATGAAGAGAAAGACTGAGCGTTTGGGATGAGGATAAGGGGAGATGAAAAAAAAATTGTCAGCTGATACAGTGCAATGCTGTTGTATATACCCATGTGATAATAATTGACATTCCTAAATAATTAGGCTCCTCCCAGACCTACATTGTAAACTTTTCATAATAAAAATAATGTTCTATCATCATCTAGTGTAACAGATATATACTCATTATTCTGAACTCTATTATATTCTGACTTTAAAGAATTAGTGAAATGAATTTAAACTAAAGACATCTTGGGTAAACAGATGAGTTATTTTATATGTGTCATATATATATATATATATATATATATATATATATATATATATATATATATATATATAACTCATCTGTTTACCCAAGATGTCTTTAGTTTAAATTCATTTCACTAATTCTTTATAGTTCAGAATATAGTTCAGAATAATGAGTATATATCTGTTACACTAGATGATGATAGAACATTATTTTTATTATATAAAGTTTACAATGTAGGTCTGGGAGAAGCCTAATATATATATATATATATATATATATATATATATATATATATATATATATATATATATACACTACCTGACAAAAATCTTGTGGCCTATCCAAGTGTTATGAACAACAAATAATAACTTGACTTCTAGTCAATCATTTGGTGTCAGGAGTGGCTTATATAAAAGGCAAAGGCCTCTAGATTACATTTATTTTACCAAAATATAATATGATCATGCCTTGATTTTAATTATTTAATTGGGACAGTATGGTCTGACTTTGCTTACACAAATGTCTTGTCGCTTAACAGAAATAAAGTACAGTATAGAATATGGTGCAGTGAAAAAATAATGAATATTGTGTATGACTCCTTTGAGCTTGGAGGAATGCCTCCATACATCTCTGCAATGACTCAAATAACTTTTTAATTAAGTCATCTGGAATGGCAAAGGAAGCATTCTTGATTGAGATTCTTTGGATTAATCTTCAGTGCCTCCTTTTTCATCTTACCCCAGACATGCTGATTGATATTCATGTCTGGTGACTGTGCTGGCCAATCCTGGAGCACCTTGACCATCTTTGCTTTCAGGAACTTTGATGTGGAGGCTAAAGTATAAGAAGGAGTGCAATCCTGCTAAAGATTTTGCCCTCTCCTGTATTTTGTAATGTAATGGGCAACACAAATGTCTTGAAACCTCAGCCTGTTGATGTTACCATCCACTCTGCAGATCTCCACCATACTAAATGTAACCCCAGACCATGACTTTTCCTTCACCAAACTTGACTGATTTCTATAAGAATTTTGGGTCCATGTGAGTTCCACTAGGTCTTCTGCAGTATGTGTGATGATTGGGATGATTCATTAGAAAAAATCTACCTTATATATTATATATATATATATATATATATATATATATATATATATATATATATATATATTAATTTTGTTTATTCTTTGAATCATCTCTAATTGATTCTCATATTAGGAGCAATGAAAGAATGTTTGTTCATGTCAGGGCTCAGGTTCATTTGCTGCATTGTTCTTACACATATGTAAAGATTACATGTCAGTCCTAAAACAATAAAATATAATTTTTTTCTTTTCTTTTTTTCTTTTATAACTGAATTAGTCCATTGCACGCTTACAATATAAAACTAACAAAAAAGAATAGTCTTGTCAAAATCGCATGGAATATATACGAAACATGTTAATACAATGTTTATCACTCTTATGTGCACATCTGTTTATTTTGCACAGAGGCAGAGGTTCGGGTGACTGCGGGTGTGAGTCCGCCCTGTGGACACTCAGAGGAGGGACAACTGTGGTTCAACACGCTGAAAAAGGGACTGTTTCTCTGTGATGGCATGATGTGGCTCACAATGCTGCAAGGTGATCCTCTAAATAAACTGTAGTAGAGCTGCAGTATATGGTTAGAAATAGGCATGGTATCTGACGATTGCACTGCATCTCTGCAGAAAAAGAGAAGCTGGACTATGTGGAGGATCATCAGGATTTATACACTTACTCTGAGACATTTGACATAGAAGTTTTCCACATCCCTTCCGTTGGGCTTTTCATTGCGACCGCCAACCGAGACTCCAACCTTGGTTCAGGAATATACAAATGGATGGATGGGAGGTTTGAACGATATCAGAACATCAGCACCTACGATGCACAGGCATGGCAGTACTTCACAGTGGGCAAGAAGGTGTGTTGGCTAGCTTCATGTTATTAGCAGAACATGATCTTACTTTTATACAACAGTTAATATGAATATGTGGTGTTCAAATGGTACAAGAGCCTTTAAAAACTTTCCAGTTTAATAGTTACAAATGCATATTTTTAACTTAAGAACTTAAGTTGCAACCAAAATAAATAAAAGTATTATTATACAATTATTATTCTAAATAAATAACAGAAATCAAATCAATGAAAAGACACAACTGTTGTGATACAAGATCTAAAAAATCTTTTGCATGAATTTTAATTTCATATGACAATGAACACAGAAAAATGTTTAGAATTATCTTTTGTCTGAGACCTGACTCTCATGGCAGAGAATTAATGTCAAGTCTAACTTCTCATCATCTCATCATCTCTCCTTTGTGCTTCATACAAAAAAACATCTTACAGGAGCCATGTTTAGTCAAAATATGATCATCATCATATTATTTAAACATTAGTTTTGCCGACTTCCAAAACTTGCGTGCGTGTAGACACCACTAAATTAAAGACTGTTGCGCCAGTTTCACAATGAGCGGCACAAATTTTTTGCCTTGTGTGTTAAACAACCGGTATTCACACCAGGAGCAGGAGCAACAATTGAGGTGTGCACTGCGCGCAAATGTTTATCTGTGAGTATGCATCAGTTTGTTTTTGATTAAACATTGCTTTCACAAGCATTAATTCGGTTGTACATAGAGAATAGCGTCTTTTTTCTGGGATCACCACTCTTAATTAATACACTTACATAATAGATAAACTTTACATAAACGCATTTACTGGGGTACTGGCCATTTTTACTGGGGCATGGAAATGAGCTCGAGTGACGCCCCTGTTGAGTCTCCTTCTTCTGCTCCAATCCAATTTGCAAAAAAACAAAGGCAGCACCGACAGAGCCCTTCCTCTGTTGTGTGCTCGCAGACAGTTCATGCCCTCAATGTTGCACAACTGAGGTCACAGCGTGCTCTGGCATTAGGGTACGCCACCCCTTCTGCTCCCCTAAGTCAGTTACCGCTTCAGGCCTGCAGGCTCTCCACTCCTACACAGTGAGCTTCGTCTAAGCTTTAAGTGAGTGTGGCCATGCATCTCCTGGAATGGCTGCCTACTCACCAGAAGGCACCATGGACCAGATGGCCATCGCTGCACCAAAAGGTGTGCTAAAATGTTCTGATCACAGTCTGGACCCACTCCCGCCCTCCGGGGGTTGTGAAGGAGGTCTTGGACCTGGAATTGGATATAGTGGGACTGGAGATGGCTTGTTCCCCCATCGGACCGACTAGACCAACAAGCAGGCATGGATGGCACCTTTTTCTGCCCGGTTCTTTTGTGCTGTCGACCTCACCACCCTTGAAGGCAGAGCAGTAAGTGGGTATGAAGCCATTTTGGTCAATCTTTGACCGCAAGGCGTCTTGACCTGGCTTCCATCGCGATGGGCAAAGTTATCCATTGGCGGGCTTGAAAAACTGCTCTCCTCGTAGCCCTATCCAAATCCTCCCACTGTCGAAGGGGCCCACTTAAGGCACCAAGTCCTGCTCTCCAAGGTCGCTCCGCTGGCTAAGCGTCATCACCAAGTGCCTCTTCCCAGTGGAGGGCTGGGGACCAACATCAACAACAAAAAACATTTACCTGCTGGCCTCTAGGCCAGCGATAACCAAATCTTCAATAAAACAGCAGTTTTCTATCTCTCTCTGGGTGTGCAAGCTCAAGCCCTACCAGTCTGGGACATGTCGCCTTCCAGCTCGCAGCGCCAGTGCATATCACCACAGGCTTTAAAAGTGCCAGAGCACAGACTGCTTTCTCTCACTTCTCCAGCCTCTTCGCGGGTTTTTGGAAGGAAGGTATGTGACAAACTTATTTTCAGCTCTTCCTGGGGAAGCTCCGCTTTTCAGAGTTCTTTCCTCCCAAGCCGCCCCACCGCTGGCATGTTAGTGATTGCTCCGATGGTGCCATTAGCCTGAGCTTTGCCAGATTGGTGAGCGCTGCACAGCTCAATGTTTTACAGCTTAACAATCTTATTTACAATTAAACAATGCTAGTGTTACGATTTGGTATTAAATTCAGTAAATAAATTAGATGTCAAAAAAGTAATGATGTCTCTCTTCGAAGGCTAAGGATTTTTTTGGTATAGACACACTGTCATTGGAACAAATTTGTTTCTCGATTGTTAATTCCTTATCATTAATATCATTAATTTCATACTTCATGGAAGCCAGCAGTGGTTGCTCCTATATTCAAAGGAGGCAACTCCAGCTTAACTTGCAATTATAGGCCTATTAGTGTCCTACCTATGATATCAAAGGTTTTTAAAAACTGCTGGTTAAACAAATTGTTGACCATTTAAATAATAGTTCTTTTCAATTACATTCAAATCAGTTCAGTTTTGGGTAAATCATTCAACAGAAACTGCTACTTATTTAGCAGTACTTATTTCATTGAAAAGGTAAGGGCATTAATGAATCGAGGTGGAGTGGTAAGGGCAGTGTTTCCACATGGGTCAGTATTGAGACTAATTCTCTTAAGCATGTACATAAATGATTTACCTATGGTGTGTCAACAGGGTAACATCATTATGTATGCTGACGATAAAGTCATTTTCAATAAAGCATGAGAGAATCAGTATAACCTAAAATTAATTGTTTCAAAAACAGCTTGCATGTACTTCTCTAAAAGACATGGCATTGATACTAAACAGGATGTTATTATCTCAGGAGAGAAGTTGTTTTGGAATTTAAATACCTATGGCTTTATCTGGACTCCTGTCTTGGTTTTAAAACACACATAAAAAAGGTATGTAACAAGGTAAAATTGAATATAGTTCATTTTATTTATTTATTTATTTATTTTTATTTTTTTTTTTAGAAATTCTTTATCAAATAAGGCTGCAAAAATGTATTTAAAATCTATGAACCTTATACAAATTGTTGTTATAAGACAAAATCTACAGATTTAAAACCTCTGGAATTATTATATAAACAATATTTATTACATAAGTTATTATTTTAAAAACAATTTAGTTTTCATCATTGTACTATTATGAAAACCCATGGACTGCTTAATTGGGAAACATCTCTAAGTTTAAAAACGGTTGTGTAGCTTTCAAGGTTATAAATGGCACCTCCCCCTCTATCTGACTTTTTAAAATTTAAATCTGTAGAAAACAGAAGTGCAGCTAGAGCTGATTGCACTATTTCACTTAGAAAAACTTCTTGTGGGCAAGCTTAATTTTCTTTCAAAGCATCACAGAAGTGGAATTTGATACCACAATCTGTTAGAAAGTCATTTAAGTATAATATTAAGAAATGGCTTCTTATCAACATTGTAAACACTAGGCTTTTGATGTTGTTTTTAGTGTTGTTGTTTATTTGAGTATTGTTTTTAGTTTGAATTTGTATTTTTATTGCTATAGGACCTGGCTAAAGGACCATCATAAAAAACCTCATCTTTGGGCTAATTTAGGTATATTTATGCTTTTGTGGAACGTTAATTAATGTACACTGAATTTCCGTGACGATTCGTCTTACAGAAGAGCGTGCCAGGCTGATGCTGTGCTGTCTGAGACTACTTGACAGGAACACAGTGGTCCGGCAGAAAGTGGAAGCTCCTGTGGAATATGGTATCTGCAGCCGCTATCACCCTACTAGGATTGCTTCATATGAGACCCCTTCATCCCTGACTTCACAATCAGGTTCCCAGATGGGCATGGCGTATGTGCATGCACAGAATGACCATCTCCCCCGCTGTGTCGCCGCAACCTAAGTTCTTGCACGGAACTTGTCTTTCTATGGACCAGGTTGCCCTTAGAACATTGGTGGTTAACATCATCACTCAGGCTAGAACACCCTCTACGAGGCATGCCTACACCCTGAAGTGGAGTCTATTCACTGAGTGGTGCGCTTCTCGCCGAGAAGATCCCCAGATTTGCCAGATTTGTGTGATCCTTCCTTTAGGATAAGCTGGAGCATAGGCTGTCACCCTTCACACTGAAGATCTTCATTGGGAGTGAGAGCGTAGTGTTGCCTCCTCTTGGGTGTTACCACATTGCGCCTATCTTACAGATATTAGCTGGGGGCTGGGCAACACCTTCGCAAGATTCTATGATTTTTGGATGGAGCCCATTTTTTCTCGATTGCTGGGTAACCCTTATCAATTGGGAGGAAACTGAGCTCGGTTTTAAATATGATTGCAGTGACATTATCCCTAACATGGAGCTCCCCCTAGAGAGTTCCTCCGAGGACCCCAGCACCTGACTCGGCCAGGTGCCAGGCCCAGTACGATGTCTGGTATTGCCTGTTTGGTCAACAAGAGTGCTGGGTATTGGTGCTAGCTATGTGTGATTCCCCATATGCACCATTCAGCCATAGAGTGTTTCCCTTTCTTAGACACACCCAGCCTTCCCTACCCACTAACCATCTTATCATATGTAGCGCAGATCTGAGGGTTACAGAGTGGGGCCTGTGTCCTCCCTCCCGCTGCTAACCATCCCTCATATGTGTACTACCGCTTGCCGAGCTAGTCCATATGTCTTCCGCCATCAGGTTTCCCTATCTGGGCAGCAGGTGGCCTCTGCAGCGTTGTTCGCCTTCTGGATATAGGCACGCTTTCCTAAAGTACTGCCGTATACAAAAATTCCTAGAATTTAACTATGCAAATGCTATGTTCCTTCACCACAGTGATTGAGCCTTAGCTGACAGCTTAGTTTGGCTCTTCAGCTTAAAAATGTGCCAAGTGATACACATCTGCTGCTTTATACCCAGCTAATTGAGACTGCTGCCAGCTGCGGTCGCTGGATGCTGCCAATTCATTGGCATTTCATTGGCCTGTTTTATTTCTCTTCAGATCATTGGCTTTCTGGCAAAATCCCCATAGTGAAAGTTTTCTACATAGCATTTCCATTCCTCTGTTAGAGAGGACTAACAGAGCTCTACATGCTTGCTGAGCTCCAGCAATGCACAAGCTGTTCTCCAGTGTTCTTCAGGTAATCTCCACTGATGCTCTTATGAGTTTCCCCCTTCTGCCTGTTGTGTGTCCATTTCTTGGAAAAGCAACACCTGCCACAGACAAGATATCTGACAACTAACTATCTAAGCTCACCCTACCTCTTCCTCATGGTTGGACATCTGTTTATCCATCCATTCCTTAATTTATCTTGTGATTATCATTTATCATTTTCTTCGTCTGCCTGTTGTGTGTCCTTTACCTGAAGACGAAACACCTTCCACAGACAAAGCATCTAACTATCTAAGCCCACCTCCACCCCCTTCCTCTTGGAAGGACATCAGTTTGTTAATAGGTGATCCCTGACCATCAGTATCTTATCATTCCTGAGATATGATTCCCTAGTTTCTCCAATCCACTGTAAAAGATGAAGACAACATCAATAGAGCTCTACTTGTTCAAATCTATCTATCAATCTATCTATCTATCTATTTGAAGGAAATACGCGATTATCACATAGTTTGTAAAAATTTTAGTATATAATTTTAAATGACAATGTATAGTACTTGTCAGTAATAAGGCATTTCCCTGTTTTTCCACATGCTCCATGCCAATCTACCAAAGTAAAATATATAAAATCTTTAATTAATCTCAATACATTTCTTTGAAAACCACCTCCATTGTTCAGTCTGTTCAAGCAGTTCTACCTGTTTGTTGAGGTCTAGGTCTTCAAGTTTATCTCCATCTTTCCCCTTGTGAGTCTCCTTCTTCTGCTCAACTCCAATCTGCAAAAGACAAAGACAGCACCAACAGAGCTCCACCTGCTCTGTTTCAGATAAATGTTCATCGATGCTCATGTGAATCTTCCTCTTCTGCCTGCTCTCTCTCTCCATTACTTGAAAAAGAAAAACCTGACACAGACAAAGCCAATCTAACTATCTATACCAACCACCACCTGCTTCATATTGGAAGGATTTTTCAAAAATAAATTCCTGACCATCGATTTCCTGTCATTGCTGAGGTGTGTGATTCCCTTTCTTCTCCATGTGGTCCATTCCAATCTGTAAAATACAATAGAAAAAGATCAAGTCATCAATTCATCTTAATACTATTTTTTTGACGTTTTATCTACTATTGTCTCCAGTCTGGTTCTGTTATAACACTAACAAATAATATTTTCAAAGCTATAAATAAATACTCTACAAGATGACAATCTATAAACTTAGAATAGATAAAGGTGGTTCAGCAAATAGTTAAACTGTAAATAGAATAAGTTACAAATGTTGAACAGGCCAGCATATATTACAAATAAATAATACAACAGCCAGACAATCTATCTGCCAATAGACGTACAGTAATATGCAATGTGTGTAAAGCTGAAAGCATACAAATACATTATAACAGATCAATTTATCTGATTGTATAACAAATAACAATCTGCAAATGTTAAACAAGATAGCAACATACAAATGAATCATACACACAAAAATATTGTATCTATTGATACCTGACAAAAATGGATTATATTTATAAACAGACTATTGAAGAAGATGACAGAATACACAAACTAGAATAAAATATATATATTCAAAATCCTAAAATTGACAAGTCGACAATGTAGCTATATCTCTAATTCCAACCAACATATTCAGTACAATCTACAGTCTAAACGAAATAATATGTGTAAAAACTAATAAAATAATCTAAAAACGACATGACCGAGAGAAATACTGAAATCTTCAGTCTCCTTCAGCAAAAACCCATTGAAACTACCATATATAAAAACCTAAATTTAGCCTTTTAGAGAAATCTTTACATACCGCTAATGTCAGCGAATGCAGTTTCTCTTCGTCATCGAACGCTTTTCAAACACATTCTTTTTTAGAATGCCATAGACTATGTTAACCACAGCAACGCCACTGTGCCGGCACCATATTCCATCACCTTAAAGGTCCAGTGCGCGATTTCCTTGAAGCACTGTAGAATACAACAATAATAATAATTCTGTAAAGGATTTAGCCCCCTATAACGCTATCTACAAAGTGCATGTTTCCCCAGAGTTTTCTAACTCATTCATTAATTTTCTTTTTGCTCAGTCCCTTTATTCCCAGCATTTGTATTATCCAGCATATGTATTAAGCATCGCATGCCCTTCCAGCTGCAGCCCATCACTGGGAAACAGTTTTCTAACTGGTGAATGATATGATCTAGTGCTATATAAGGCTGATGATTATCTATTCGGTGTGCGTTCATGGCTTTGGATGGCAAGGGAGATATATGCGTTTTCAAAGCTATTATGCTATGTTAGCATTTCGGCAGATCACCTACTGCACCTTTAGGAAGCCATACAATAAAATCTGTGCTTAGTTTATCTACAGTGTACAGTCTTTGTTAGGTGAATGATTAGATATTTGCATTAACAGGTGGCCTATTAAATGATCTATTACCATTCTCTCAGCTCTGCTGAACCAATCAAATTTGAGGAGCAGAACAAACTGATGAATAAATGAATTGCTATGATACTGATGGATCTGCCTATGGAACAGCTGCTGCTGGAAGAGCGTCTGTTTGCTCGGAGTAAAGCTCATCCCCAGCTGTTACTAACACATCACACTGTTTTCTGATGTGGTTTTGGGGGTGGAGATCTGGCTCTAAAGTTTTAATGTTGTAAATCACATGTGCATAATAACAGAAATTAATTTCGTCTGATGCTGTTTCCAACATTTACAGCAGACACCTCCTGCTTCCCTTCACTTTAACTTACTGCATAATTACAGTCAAAGCCGAATGGGACTGTGTTAATACCTGCAGTGCAATTATCCATATGTTTTTCTTCTTGGAAGTCTGAGAAAATTATGATTCACGTTACATTTATAGTGAAATAAGAGGGGGGAAGCCTTTGTAATTGCATCGGTGACCAGTTATTAAAAGATAAATCAATGCACTATTAAATTGAACTTTTGAGGTAGAGGCAATTCATTAAAATATTCCTCTTTTCCTCTGGCTTTGAAAGTCAGCTTGGATAATTAAACCCTGTGAAGATGCAGAAAACACCTACAATTATGATGTGCAAACCTCATTACAATTTCATTTTGATTCCTTTACTTCTCAAATAAAGTTACAATTCCATCAGATGCGCGTCAGATCATTTTATATAGAGAGGAAATATATATGTTATATGGATCAATATATGTGTGCTTACAAATGAGTATGTATAGTTGTAGTCAGAATTATTAGCCTATTAGCTGTGAAGTTTTTATTCTTTTCTAAATATTTCCTAAGTGTTACTTGACAGAGAGATTTTGTTCATTATTTTTTTATACAATATTTTTAATAACTAATTTCTAATAAGTAATTTGTTTTTACTTTCTAATTTTTAATAGCGAATTTCTTTTGTCTTTGTCATGATGACGGTGCCTAAATGTGTTCTAATCATTTAGCAAGATGCTAGTATTTAGGTTATTATGTTAACATATTATGTTATTATGTTAACAGGCAAAGTTAGAATAATTAGGGAAGTTATTGCATAACAGTGTTTTTTCTGAAGACAATCAAAAAAGTATGGCTAATAATATTGACCTTAAAATTGTTAATTGCCAAACTAAAAGAAATAATACCATCTCCCCCCTCCCCCACTGAAAATTGTGTTCAGTGCATATACACTTTGTTAGGTATACCATAATAGTACCCGGTTGGACCCCTTTTGTCTTCAGAACTGCCTTAATCCTTTGTGCAATAGATTCAACATGGTACTGAAAATATTCCACAGAGATTTTGGTCCATATTGACATGTGGCGTTGACACGATGCTCAATTGCTACTAATGGGCCCAAAGTGTTCCAAGAAAGTATCCTCCACACCATTACATCACTACCACCAGCCTGAACTGTTGATCCAAGGCAGGATGGATCTATGCTTTCATGTTGTTAATGGCAAATTCCGACCCTACCATCCAAATGTTGCAGCAGAAATCAAGACTCATCAGACCAGGCAATCTTCTATTATCCAATTTTGGTGAGCCTGTGCGAATTGTAGCCTCAGTTTCCTGTACATAGCTGATAGGAGTGGCACCTAGTGTGGTCTTCTGCTGCTGTAGCCCATCTGTCTCAAGGTTCAAAGTGTTGTGCGTCCAAAGATGCCCTTCTGCATACCTCGGTTGTAACAAGTGGTTATTTGAGTTTCTGTTGCCTTTCTATCAGCTTGACTTCTGGCATCAACAAGGCATTTGTGCCCACAGAACTGCTGCTCACTGGATATTTTCTCTTTTTTGGACTATTTTCTGTAAAGCCTAGAGATGGTTGTGCAAAAAATTCCCAGTAGATCAGCAGTTTCTGAAATACTCAGAATAGCCCGTCTGGCACCAACAACCATGCCACATTCAAAGTCAGTTAAAGCACCTTTCTTCCCTATTCTGATGCCCAGTTTGAATTACAGCAGATTGTCTTGACCATTTCTACATGTCTAAATGCATTGAGTTGCTGCCAAGTGATTGGCTGATTAGCAATTTGCATTAATGAGCAAGCAGTTGGACAGGTGTACCTAATAAAGTGGACGGTAAATGTATGTACATATCTATATGTGGCTATATATACAGACATGTACATATTACATTTGCTTTTATAAACAATTTTTTTAAGCCTGTCCTTGTCATCGTTAGAGAAAGTCAAATTGTTCATTTAAACACAATTTTGCAACTTGTTTCTTTTTATTACCGTTACAGAACTATTTAATTCACATGCTTTCTTTCTATTGAAACAGAAGTTCCTGGTTGTGGCCAACTGCAAGAGTAAAGAAGCAGGAGAGCCCGAGCAGTCGGTGATTTATAAATGGAGCTCAAAGAAGCTGAAATTTATTCGCTACCAGACTCTGATCACACACAGCGCTCGCGACTGGGAGGCTTTCAACATTCAAGACGAAACTTTCCTGGCCGTGGCCAATCACAGGCAAGGTAATGTTCATCAGAGCCACTCACTACACATCTGTCATCTCATAGCACTGTTTTTGTCCTTTTAAATTGTGCAACTCCACAGGTTTTATCAGCTGAACAATAACAGGAGGAAGTCCATTTATACGATTTCTGAAAGAAGATTAAGCTTAAATTCCATACAAATCTCATACAAATCTGCAGCCTTTGAGGCACACAATCTGAACCATCAAGGAAATCTTTTTAGGGCTAAAAGGTCTGCTTGTTTATGTGGTTGACTTTGATTCTGCACTTGATGTCTGTTCGCTTATGAGTGCGCACCGTGCTTATCCGTTCGTGTGAAGTTCTTACGTGAGCCTCTGGCATTGATCAAAGCGGAAACGCAAGCATAAAAGACACCTTTCATTGCCCTTCATAACCATACAGGCCCCGTCTATACACCTGCATCTGCTGGAGCACATCCAAACTGAGCCGTGGCGGATTATTTCTGGGTGAAAATGGCCTGAAGAATTGAGTTACACTTCTGATAACCACACACAGAAATGCAATGTTTTGCAAGTAATTGATTTAAAGCTGAAAATGTTAAGTTACTTTAGTAATACTTGATTAAAATGGCGGGAAAATACTGCAATTAGGAAGTCTAAAATGTGTTTTATTAAATGTAAATGTTTGTATGGAAAACTGTGGAAAAAAAACATCCTGGAAAAACATTTGAGAAAGCTCAAATTTGGCATTGTACTTCATTTTAATCAACTTTTTGTACAATTATGTGTTATTTTGAATAGTGGTTTTAATTTATTTGTTATCTTATTAGTTTTTGCCATTAACGGCCATCATGTGGATGTGTTCTGCTGTTTCTTAAAATGCAAATTATAGTAAAATATAAGTAAAATAGAATCACCTATTGACTTAATATACTTTTTTTTTATATTAAAAAAACATTTCTGGGCGATGCAGTGGCGCAGTGGGTGGCACGTTCGCCTCACAGCAAGAAGGTCGCTGGTTCGAATCTCGGCTCAGTTGGCGTTTCTGTGTGGAGTTTGCATGTTCTCCCTGCATTAGCGTGGGTTTCCTCCGGGTGCTCCGGTTTCCCACACAGTCCAAAGACATGCGGTACAGGTGAATTGGGTAGGCTAAATTGTCCGTAGTGTATGAGTGTGTTTATGTGTGGATGTTTCCCAGAGATGGGTTGCGGTTGGAAGGGCATCCGCTGCGTAAAAACTTGCTGGATATATTGGCGGTTCATTCCGCTGTGGCGACCCCAGATTAATAAAGGGACTAAGCCGACAAGAAAATCAATGAATGAATGAAAAAAAAAACATTTCTGTAGTATTTTCTTTATTTTCTTTTGCTTATTTTGTATTATTCCATCAAGATAGAATTTTGACATGTGCATAATTGCGTATCACTGGTTATAAGTATTGTTAAATTTGCATCAAAGAGTATTTTTATATTCCATTAAATTTTAAAAATTACAATAAAAAAAAATTACAACTTTCTAATAAAATTGGTAATACTTTAAAATAATGGTCCTTTTGTTAACTTTATTCACTAACATAAACAATTAGTAAATCATTTACTATATATTTGTTTATGTTAGCGTTAAGATAAATAACATTAGTTTGTGTTATTTTATTTAAACTCATGGTGCATTAACTAATGTTAACAAGCACAACTAACTTTGGATTTTAATAATTCATTAACTCTAATACATGCTTGACTCTCCATACTCAGTTAATGTTAGTAAATACATTAATATTAACTGAATGATTATTATTCTAAACTGTTAACAAAAAAAACTAAATCACACAAATATATCTAATATTGAATAGCAATGATCCAGGTAAGCGCATCCTATTACCAGACAGTCTACCAATACTCTGAATACTGCTAGTTGACATGTATTTGCAATGTTACTTTTAGTCAGCAGAATGTCTAAAGGTGATTATCAAATATGTTATCAATGTTTGTTTGTTTTTTTTCCATAGGGGAGAGAAACCACAATATTGATAGTGTAATCTACAAGTGGAACCAAGTTACCCAGTTTTTTGAGGTCAATCAGACAATCCCTACGGCTGGCGCGTATGACTGGGAGTTTTTCGCTGTCGGCCCTTATTACTTCCTTGTGGTGGCAAACACTTTCAATGGAAGATCTACAGTCATTGATTCTACAATCTATATCTGGCTGGGAGGGATGTTTCAGCCTTATCAGTCCATTACAGTGAGTCAATTTATGCTTTATCATGATCATATTCACAATGAAGGACACAGACTGAGAAACATTTCTCTGTTCTGTATATGGACATACAGTTGAAGTCAGAATTATTAGCCCCCTTTGAGTTTTTTTTTTCTTTCTTTTTTTTAAATATTTCCCAAATTATGTTTAAAAGGACAAGGACATTTTGTCAGTATGTCTGATAATATTTTTTCTTCTGGAAAAAGTCTTATTTGTTTTATTTCTGCTAGAATAAAAGCAGTTATTATTTTTTTAAACCCCATTTTAAGGACAAAATTATTAGCCCCTTTAAGCTTCTTTTTTTTCGACAATCTACAGAACAAACCATTGTTATACAATAACTTGCCTAATTACCCTAACCAGTTAACCTAATTAACCTAGTTAAGCCTTTAAATGTAATTTTAAGCTGTATAGAAGTGTCTTGAAAAATATTGAGTCAAATATTATTTACTGTCATCATGGCAAAGATTAAATAAATCAGTTATTGGAAATAAATTATTAAAACTATTATGTTTAAAAATGTGTTAAAAAAGTCTTCTCTCTGTTAAACAGATATTGGGGGAAAATAAACAGGGGGGCTAATAATTCTGACTTTAACTGTACATGTACTTGTTCAAAGTTTGCAACTGATAAGTCTTGTTTCTTATACTTATATTAAAATTAATAATAATGTGAAAACTTAAATGTAATATATTTTAAATTGTAGTGTATTCCTGTGAGGACAAAGCTACATTAGAAATGCTTCCAGAAAAAGCACTTTAAGAGGAAGACGCATGCTAAAGTGTAATTCAGAGCAACAATAGATTATATGAGAAAATTCTTTTTAGAAATATTTTTAGATTTGATGACAAATAAAAAGACTAAGGTTGGTGCCAGGGTGTAGTGGAAAGTACGTCAACACATGCACTCCAGTGCTCACAGCAACCAGAGTTCGATTCCCGCCTTCCTTCCTCTTTCTCTGCTCCCCAAACTTTCCAGCCAATACTCTCTACTGTCCTCTCCAATAAGCGAAAAAAGGTGAAAAATAATTAGGGTAAAATAAGACTAAGGATCACAGCACAGACCCAAAAAAACTAACTAATAGTATTTTTTTTTAATCTGCCACTAAAGCCCTTGATATTTAGAACTACATTTTACAAACTAAAGGTCAAAATAAATCTATTTTTTCATTTCTATGTAGGCCTGTCACGATATCTTATTTTTGATGTACAATATACTGCACCCAAATTTTGCCATAAATTATATTGTTGTCATTTTTATTTAGGACCAGTCTATGCCAGCTATTATATAATGACAGAATGGCAATATAATAACATCAAAATGCAAGTACACTCTTTCAGTGTAGAGAATAGTTTATTATTAAAATATTTAATATAGTCATTTTAACAATTTATATATTTAGGCATTGGATTCAGAAAGTGAAAACGCGTATCCGAAACATATAAATAATAATAATACATGCCAACAAAAAAGTAAGATAACAACAAACTCAACAAAAATTCACATTTTAGAATATTAAAGAGTCACATATATAGGCACACATAGGTGCCTGAACACCCTGCTACCAGATTTATTGTCAGTTGTTAGGCACACACATGAAAATATACTATGGTCATTTATATTACTAAAGTATTTTTTAACCGTATGGCACAGGAACCTTCGATAGAGACTGGATGAGATGGCAGAGGCTGCGCAATCAGCTAAAATGCTGCTGAGATTGGCATATGCGAAACATATACCGCATCACCAAAAAAGATCTAGATCTAATTGCTGTGGAATAAGTTCAAATGCAAAGACCTCTAAGTGCCGTCTGAAATTTCCATTGAAAATTAGCTTTATTCTCAGCCACTTTTGTTTATGTTGAGACATTTAGATGACATTTTTGCATCTGAACTCTTCATATATCGATTATTGTATTTACACTGGATGACAATGCAGAAATCAAATTGTGGCAAGTGAAGATATTGTGTGAGAATCAAATAACATTTGAAAATCTGTATCAATATCAAATCATTTTTGGTTTAAGTAAGACTTTTATTGAGCAAAGATGTATTAAATCAATTAGTAATATATTGTTTCAGTTGACTTGTATTGTACATAAATGCCTTTTTTGAGGTTTCTATTCATTTAAAGAAAAATTATGCACCGCACTTTCAAAAAACCATTTTGCACTGCAAATAAACTTGTAAAAAATCAACTCCAAATTTCTGAGTGATAGTGTAAGTGTGATTTTGTTACATGGCTGCATGAATATAACATCCCTTTCTCATCTCTGACCCTCCAGACATTCGGGGCGATCGACTGGGAGATGTTCCAGATTGAAAATAGGGTTTTTCTGGCGGTGGCCAACAGCCAGATGCTGACGGAGGAGGGCAAGATCCTGTACTCCATCAACTCCACCATCTATGAGCTCAGCATGACATCACAGACCTTCGTCAGGTTTCAGGATATTGAAACAAACAGGTCAACTATACAGAAACATTACATATAAAAGTCTTCATTTGCAGTTGTCATGCTTGTACTTAAGGCACTCTTTGTTGTCTTGGTCTTTCAGTGCTTTAGATTGGGAGTATTTTACTGTGGGAGATGACAAGTTCCTGGTGGTCGCCAACTCCTATGATGGAAACTCATACTCTCTTAATAGTGTTATATACAGGTACGGGTCTCATCTAGTATGGATTTTAAATCAGTGGAAAGAAAAAATAAAAGTCTTATTTTGGTTTACAAAAGCAGACTGCATTTAGGGCCTTATATATTCACTGCTGAATTGTAATTAAACAGCTACTACAATTATAATTTAGTAGCTAGTTCTACAGATTCTAACCTAAAATATAAAATATTATAATAATAATGGGTTTATTATATTTAAAAATAATAATTTAATTATTTTTTCTAAAATAAATTTGTGAATGATTAATATAATATAATATAAATTGCCATTTTTACCATGTACTCATCCTCACTGTTGAGCAGCATATCATCGCCTTGGAATTGTATTAAGATTTTGCATTCCATAGCAAACAGTATGTGTGTAACATTTGTTTTTTTTTAATAAAAAGTCCTAAAATGTAAACAAATTATAAAAAACATCCCATAATGTAAATAAGCTGTAATTTAATAAGAATATGTCAATAAATTAATATTGACAAAAATGTCAGATAAAACCTTATAATTCTAAAGTGGCGATATAGAGGCTTACAACTAAAACTATTTCCTTGTGGACATCTTGACTTTGAAGGAATGAACAGAGAAAATAAAGCAAATTTCCAGATTAAAAATGCAGAGCCTTAAAACTAGACCAACATATAGCAGGCAGCTCACTTTGTAGACTCTCTTAAACTCCTGAAAGGAACTTTTCACATGTGTCAGACAAGTTTGTTATTCAATTTTAGGGTGTATCAGGGCCTTTAATATGCCAGGAGTTTGCTTCAGATGTCTTAATAGACAATAAAATCATCCATATATTTAAAATGCCATTCTAAAGATTTATAGCTTGTTTAATTGTTAACTGCCACTGGCCCACCAAAGGCCAATTTGCCTTTACATGGTTAAAACATTAATATCTTATTCTTAAAGGATAGTTCACCCAAACATGAAAATTCTGTTGTTTATTACCCACCCTCATGTTGTTTCACTCCCCTGAGACCTTCGCTCATCTTCAGAGCACAAATTAAGATATTTTGAATGAAACCTGAGAGCTCTTCTTCATCCTCCATAGACAGCAATGATCAGAAGATGTTCAGAAAATGAACCAAAGACATTCCATGTGACTTCAGCGGTTCATCTTTAATCACAATGCTCCAAAATATTTCTGTGTGCCCAAAAACTGTAAATAAAAAACAAACAATAATGATTAAAGATCTCTGGGGATTGAAACAACATCAGGGTGAGTAATTAATTTTTGGGTTAGTGCGAGTTTAAGTAACCCTTTACCTAATATTGACAAACCATATATCATTTTAAATTTAGAAATCATCCTTTAAAACAATCAAACATTGTGTCACCATAGTCATTGTTATTTCAATTTTTAGCGAGCTCCACATTTTCGTTAGCAGTTTAAGTTTCATATTACATTATCATTTTATAATCCTGGCAAGTCACGTATGCTTAGAAAGGTCTGACAGTCACAGTTTAATGGTTGCTGTCTGTGTTGTGATAAAATAAAACTGTGAGAGAAATGAATGGATTTGTGACAGGAACAACTGGACAGGAATACTGTAATTGCAAACCGAAAAAAATCTCTTGGGAACCTAATTTTTGTCAGGATTTGGAAAATAAGTTCCATTTGACATTTAGCTTTGATTTTATAGCAATTCTTAACTTCAAATCATGTTATGAGTTAATATTAGGAATATGTTTAATGCAATATTTAAAACAGTGCAGTGCAGTTTATGTGACCTATAAATGTAGCATCTTTAATTTTTTTAGATATGCTTTGACTTTGATTTGTCTCAACTTGTAAAGCAGATTTGTAGATATCTGATTGGACATTGCAATGAAGGTTTTGGAAAAAATGATGCATACATTTTTGTTTCAGATGGCAGGGTTACGAGGGCTTTGTCCCTGTCAACAGACTGAGCACCAATGGCTGCAGAGACTGGGAATTTTTCAACACAACCGACGGCTACTACCTCATCTACTCCAGTGCCAGAGCTGCTCTCTCTAAGGTCCTTAAATTAAGGACCATATAGTGGCACTGGACATATAAACAAAGACTAGCAGTAACTCTAAGCATGAACTGTAAATACGATGTTCTTGGATATAGCTGTTATCCAAAACTGAAATAATATTCATTTACCACATGCACTTAATGACATTCCTTGTAACAAGCTGAAGGATCTGTCTCACTACACTGAAAACATCCTGAACAACAACAGCACAATCGCAAAGAGACTATGGAAAAATTGAGAAAACTCACTTCAGAAGATTTCATACTCGCACTTATTTTGCACACAGTTCACCAGTACGCTTTGTTTAATAATATGTCATTATGTCCTGTGATCATCTGCACATAAAGGCAGCTAACTAGTTAGTTTATAAAATGACTGGAAAAGATCGATTTATCAGCCAACAAAACACTGTATTAACTGTACTGTACTGTTTGTAAGCTACCGACTTTTACATTTGTTTTATTAGAAGGTCTTTAAATGAAATTGAAGTATGTATAATTCTATAAATTCAGCTATAAGTGAATAATATTAATAGTAATAAAAATGACTAAGGATTTTAATAATATACTGACTGTTCTTTTTAATAATATTACCTCTATAACTTATTTTAGAAGATAGTTGTGTTGATGGTTTCTTTATGAACAGTGTTTTTGTTCATTTTTCTGCTTTGTTTTGATTCTGTCATAATTGTGAGCTTGCTGTGGCATATAAGTTACAACATTTGCTTTACTAGTGACTTATTCGACAGCATAGCATTATTTTTTGTTGAATTAAATATTTTTGTTTAGATTTTGTTGTGTTTATTCAACGTTTGTCATCCAATGATAATATCCATTTTGTCTTGGGAACAAAAGCTGAAAGAGAAATGTAAAAAACTGTAAATGACAGTATACTGCTTTATTGGTGTAAATAACAGATTTTACATTTGTTCATTTATTGTGTGATTGATAATATTTATGATGCCAATAACCATGCATTAAAATGAATTACACACAAATGTAATTTGTATATTAGGCGCCCTCTACTGGAAACTACTGTGATAAGATAAGACATGGTTATACTTTATTTTTTTTTAAGTATTCCAAACGTTTGTGCATTTCTTTAGTTTTTGATTGCTCGAAAATGCTAACAATAGTTTTCTTTTCTTTTTTTTTTGTACTTTACTAAGGAACAGTGGTGATTTATAGCTAATGATTTTAATCAATAAATAAAAAGTAAATAAAAAATCTGCAAACTTAACTGAGGATTGTGGCTTTATTTCAGAAAAAATATATACAGTGCTCGGCATATATATATATATATATATATATATATATATATATATATATATATATATATATATATATATATATATATATATATACACAAATCTATCACAAATGTATCACATATTTCAATAGAAAGCTCCACAATATTATATTTGTGCATATACATTAGTCAGTACTGAAGCCAAATCTGGAGCTTATCTAACAAAATAATGTATGATAATGGTGCAAAAACGAGTACACCCAAATTTATATAATATAGAAAAATATTAAATTCTAATAAAAAATAGAAAAACTCAAGAGAGGCAAAAAATGTGAAAGTTTAGTTTTGCAAAAAATGTACAATAATTGTATTTGTTTTGGAATATTTTGCTTGAATTTAATTGTATAAACTTTGATGCTATTGTAATAAATATATCTGTTTAATAAATCTGTTTTGTTTAAATGCACTAAAATTCATTGCCTATATTCACTGAGAAATGGACACAAATATTCATTTTCAAAATGGGGTGTACTCAATTATGCCAAGCCTTGTTTAGACCCGGAACACCGTGAATTCATGTATGCTTCAACCGATATATTCATCCTTCTGGACATGTTTCAATCACCTCAGTCTGGCCTCTCTGAATTTATCATGAAAACTTTTCATTTTTACTTTTCATTTTCTCACTTAGATTGTTTTGTCTTGTTTCTGGTCCAAATATCTACACATTCTTAAATTAGGAAGCATTTTCTAGAAAAGCAAAAAAAAAAAAAAAACAGTCTTGTTTTAAAAAATTATGTAAACATTGAGTTTTTCCTTCAAACAAGCAAAATAATCAATGGGGCAAAATAATCTAATGCTTAAACGTTTTTTTATTTTATGAATTCTTAATATTTAATTATTAAATTAAATAATTGATTATTTATTTCAACACATTAACTGTTGATATAAAAAAATTATCACTGATATCAAAAATGTAATTGTTAATACTACTACTACTATGAATAATAATAAATCATTACAATTGCATAAAATCTCATGATGATAGATAAAATGTAAATGTAATGATTATAGCTAAATATATAAAAATATCCATGTAATGTAGTAATATCCACATCTTTGGATTTAAAGGCTTAAAAAGATTATGGCAAGTCGTTTTGACCATTCTCAGTTCTCAAAATGTGAATGCTCTCTTAATAAAACACTTAATATAACAATTTAGATTGTTGATATGATATCAAAAACTTTATTGTTGATATCAAAAACTGAATTTTTATATCAAAATTGTTGACATCAAACATGTAATTATTGATATAGAGGATTAAATTATTTATATTTATTCCTTCATTCATTTTCTTTTCGGCTTAGTCCCTTTATTAATCCGGGGTAACCACAGCGGAATGAACCGCCAACTTATCCAGCACGCTTTTACGCAGCGGATGCCCTTCCAGCTTAACCCAATTCACCTGTACCGCATGTCTTTGGACTGTGGGGGAAACCGAAGCACCCGGAGGAAACCCACGCGAACGCAGGAAGAACATGCAAACTCCACACAGAAACGCCAACTGACCCATCCGAGGCTCGGACCAGCGACCTTCTTGCTGTGAGGTGACAGCACTCCCTTCTGCGCCGCCTGAATTATTTATATTAAGAATTCAAATCCTAAGGATGAATTAAAGTCCAAACGGCTTGCCATACACGCAGCACTATCATTCATATATTTTCGCATCTGTAAAAGTGGAAAGAATCACTATGGGCGCCATCCAATGTCTGACCTGTACATAGAGAAACACCTTCATGTTTTAACCAATCAGCTCTCTGCTTATTGAGTAGTAAAGAGTCTTTATATATCAAGAATAGCCACTCCTCATTTGCCTCCTAGGTGATCATGCAAATTTTGTGGAGATTTCACAAAGTCGTTGTATGTAGTCTGTATATAATCGAAACAAATATTTACAAAGATTAAATGTGAGTAAAAATGTTTCAGTACTTACGTTTAAATGATGTATCATAAGTAATTTTGTCTGAGTTGTATTTTCAACGCCCTCTTGCGGTCGTTTTGCAGCGAAGCGCATTAAGAGTGGGAGCGCTAGTTTCTAAATAAAGCTTCTACGGCGAGAAAGGCGTTCATTTACAGACGTCTGGTTTGTGTGTGCGTTTGAGCACTACTTGTGTGTTGTCCTAATCATTTCTCTTGCATTGTAATTATTGCAGCATATTACAAACTAAACAAAAATGAGTGACGCCGAGAAGGAATTCGTGGAGCGGGTATGTACGGTTTATTTGACTGTTTTTTTCTTTGCACGCGTCCATCCATGTTTCTTCTAGAAATGGCCTCCATATTGTATGTTAGCCAGCAGAAGTGAGCTAGTCAGGCTTCATTCATTTTTAATATCTGATTATTAATGTATAAATACAATGACGAAGTCGATGCATTTGCTTTTTAAAATTTGCATTAAAGTATGTATCAGCATGCAGTGTTAATTTTATTTCGAGATTCAAGTCTTCAGTTAGCTAACTTCAGTGCTAGCATAAAGACAACGTGCTTTCACAGCTTTATCTTTTTCAATTTGCTTTTACTAGTCCGCCAATGTTTTACTGTTCTTACCAAATGTTGTTTTCTCTTTGCATGTTTAATTAAACCAGTATAACTTGTATGAGTACTGTAATATTTGTTGCTAATACATGCTAAGGTCATCCTGAGCCTTCAAGCTGGTCATATTATTCGTTTTTATGTCAAATAACTTGTATTTAACAGCACACTCGATGTGTACGTGCAGATTAAGTTCATGCTTTTACATAATTTAAGGCAAAACACAGCAAGCAAAAATTATTTTTGTGATTTTGGGCGTTTCATTTAAGTGTTAATTTTGTGTTCTGCAAAGAAAGCATCCAAAATAAACCTTTTATATTTATTTTGTCACACTTTATCAATTTGTGTCTTAAGATTTCAATTTAATGCATATTTTAAAGGCCCTTTTCTCAAAATAATTTTTTCTTCTCTCATTTTTAATCTCTCATAAATCTCCAATTCATCAGCACTTGCCCCAAACTTCAGTATTTGATTTATAACATATACAGTGCAGCCGGAAAGTATTCATAGTATTCACATTTTATGTTACAGCCTTATTTTAAAATTGATTAAATTAATTAATTTCCTAAATATTCTACACACAATACCCCATAATGACAATGTGAGAAAAGATTTTTTGACATTGTTGCAAATTTATTAAAAATAAAAAACCTAAAAAATCACATGTACATAAGTATTCACAGCCTTTGCTCTATACTTTGTTGTTGCACCTTTGGCAGCAATTACAGCCTCAAGAATTTTCGAATATGATGCAACAAACTTGGCACACCTGTCTTTGGGAATTATCGCCCATTCCTCTTTGCCGTACCTCTCAAGCTCTATCAGGTTGGTTGGGAAGCGACGATGTACAGCCATTTTCACATCCCTCCAAAGATGTTCAATAGCATTTAGGTCTGCGCTCTAGCTAACCCACTTAAGGACATTCACTGAGTTGTTGTGAAGCCACTCCATTAATATTTTGGCGGTGTGCTTAGAGTCGTTGTCCTGCTGGAAGATGAACCGTCACCCCAGTCTGAAGTCAAGAGCACTCTGAAGCAGGTTTTCATTCAGGATGTCTCTGTACATTGCTGCATTCATTTTTCCCTTCTATTCTGACTAGTCGTCCTTGCTGCTGAAAAACATTTCTGGTTTCTCCAAACGTATCGCCTGGCATTCACTACAAAGAATTTTAGGCCCCGTTTACACTAATGCGTTTTAGTTTGAAAACGCATAAGTTTTGCTACGGTTACGCCAACCGTCCACACTACGCCGGAGTTCTCGAGCGCCGAAAACAGAGCGTTTCAAAAACGCTGGAGAGGCCGTTTTCATTCTGAAACGCTGCTGCTCCGTCTCAGTGTGGATGATGGAAAACGGAGACATCTGAAAACGGAGGCGGGGCTGCTGACATTCGCCTCTCTGATTGGGGCTTTTCCTGAATATTAAGTAGCCTAACACACACAGTTCAGTCCTGCATTTTCTCCGTGTAAGTTCAGACTTCGCATGTTTGATCAAGGCTGCAGTCTCTTCTTCTCAGTTTGATATGGAAAACAGACTAGGACACGGGTAAATCTTCAAAGGGAACAGTGTACTTTATAACTTCATTCACATCACCCTGGCTACGTTGTTTCACTTTCTCAACAATAAATTGTATACATGATTTAAGGAACTGCCTATTTTCATTTTAATATTAACAACTAAACAGACAGCAGAAATGTTGAGGCGTCGTGCTGCATGAGCGTCATCTTCACTGTGTGGATATCTATAACAAAACGGAGCCGATAACAACTGCCTCCTTTCAATTTCAGTGAAAATAAGAAACACACCCTCTCTTTTGCTGAATATCAGTTTTAATAATCGATAATGGCCATTATGAAAGTATAACACACAATAAGTTTTTACATTATAGGAAATAAAGGCAAGCGATCAGTCAATATACATAATAGGCTACGTGGTTTTATCAATCATTAACTTATCTTTGCGCTCAGCCAAAACACGTTACCTGAGAAAAAGTAAGATTCTAATGAACAAAGTCAGGGAATATGTCGTTAGATAAAGACAACAAGATGAATGAAATATCCCGTTTAATAAATATAGTGAGATTAGATCCAGCGGGAGATGCTTGATGAGAAGTCCGACTAGCAGAGCTCTCATCTGGGTAGATGAGCTGCAGCGCTTGCCAGAGAGTGTCTGTGTGGTCACGTGATGTGCGTTTTCAGCGTTTTGGTGTGGACGGAGAGCCGTTCAGAAACGCTTGGTAAAACGCGAGTGTGGACGCAGATCGTTTTCATTCTAAAAAGCCGTTTTAAAACTAAAACGCACTAGTGTAAACGGGGCCTCAGTCTCATCAGACCAGAGTATTTTGTTTCTTTTGGTCTGAGTGAGAGTCCTTCAGATGCCTTTTAGCAAATTCCAGGTGGGAAGTGGCTTCTGTCTGGTCACTCTACCACACAGGCCTGATTGGTGGATTGCTGCACTGATGGTTGTCTTTCTGTAAGGTTCTCCTCTCTCCACAGAGGAACCCTGGAGCTCAGACAGAGTGACCATCGGGTTATTGATCACCTCCCTGACTAAGGCCCTTCTTTCCTGATCACTCAGCTTAGATGGCCGGCCAGCTCTAGGAAGAGTCCTGGTGGTTCCAAACATCTTCCACTTGCGGATGATGGATGCCACTGTGCTCATTGGAACTTTTAAAGCAGCAGAAATTTTTCCCTAACCTTCTCCAGCCTTGTGCCTCAAGACAGTCCTATCTCTGAGGTCTACAGACAATTCCTTTGTCTTCATGCTTAGTTTGTGCTTTGACATGCACCGTCAACCCTGGGACCTTATATAAACAGGTGTATGCCTTTTCGAATCATGTCCAATCAACTGAGTTTACCACAGGTGAACTCAATTAATCTGCTGAAACATCTCAAGAATGTTCAGTGGAAACAGAATGTACCTGAGCTCAATTTAGAGCTTCACGGCAAAAGCTGTGAATACTTATGTACATGTGATTTTTCAGTTTTTTTATTTTGAATAAATTTGTTGCACTTAAAAAAAAAAAAATTCCCCATTGTCATTATGGGGTATTGTGTGTAGAATTTTGAGGAAATAAATGAAACGGTGCATTTTTAAATAAGTTATAATAAAAACTATAAATACTTTTTGGATGCACTGTATATTATTTATACAGAAGGGTTTTTTCCCTTGTATTTTTTTACATTTTCTTATTTTGAACCTGATTTCATATAATGTACAGAACTGATAGCATATCAATTTAAGCATAACATTTTGAAAAAATTGTAATCTAAATAAATGTTTGCTCTCACAGTTGTTTTTCTTCATTTTATTCACCGCTGTGTCTTGCCTTAAACTACTCTAAATGTGTGAATGAAATGCAAATGTATGAGTTTGTAAATGCGAGCAATTGCTTATGTGTGTGTGCATGCATAAGGCTCAGGATGCATCTGAAAGTATTGTTTATCATGATAGAAGTTTAAAGCTTACTCTACATTTTCTCTGTCGGTTCATCTATACTGTTTTCCACACTAATAAAACATAGGATTCTTGGTTGTGATGTCCAGTGTTTACACATTCTTCATCCTTTTCTTTTTTGTTAAGGTTAAGGTTGGAAGAAGAGAAATCTGGATGAAGTCAAATGTCAAGTTGTTAATGCGAATAATTTGAAGCTGAATTTTCAGTGCATGCTAATATTGCGGAGCAAAAGAAGTTCCCATATAGCATTTTTGGGCAGTGAGAGAAATGGGGGAAGAGGATTGAAGTCAGAAATGAAATTGAGACTGAAGAAAGAAGAAAAGATGTGTTATGAAGTTAAGATCAGAAGTTATCTGGGATAAGATCGCAGCGCTAAGTAACTCTTAGTATGTTTGTCCCATGCGTGCATGCATCAATCTTCTTTTGTCCATTTTGTATTGCAATAGTCACTATTCTGCAGTAGCATGAGAGATTTACAGCTAGATATTTTTCACACATAATCTGATGATGCATTAATTTCAAACCACTACAAATTCTTTTCTTGTAAAATTGTTTAAGCATTAGTTTATGTACAGTACTTGCAGTGAAAAGGCCACCATCACTGCGTATTATCATAGTCTTGATTGACTTATTTATATACATTTTTATAATTATATACACACAATTTTTGTCCCTGTGAGCCTATTCTGTTGCCCTAACCTGACTGGGATGTGGTTGGTTTAGGAGTCTCGTTCAGCCTCTAGGAGCGCAAGTCCTAGAGGATCTGCCAAGTCCGGCAGTCGCTCAGCTGAACGCTCGCCTGCTCATTCCAAAGAGAGGTCCCATCATTCCCGCTCAAAATCCCGCTCGCGCTCCCGTTCCAAGACCAGGTAAAGAATTTTGCTATTTTTTTACTTTCATTGTTTTTTGTTTATGGCTCGAATTTCTTGTGTACACTACCTGACAGACAGAAGTCTTGTCGTCCATCTCAATTGTAAGAGCAACAAATAATAACTTGACTTCTTGTTGATCATTTGGAAAAGTGGCAGAAGCTAGATTTTTCTGCGTTATCATCTGTTGAACTGCATCCCAATCATCACAAATACTCCAGAAGACCTATTGGAACCCGCATGGACCCAAGAGTCTCACAAAATTCAGTCAAGTTTGGTAAAGGAAAAATCATGGTTTGGGGTTACATTCAGTTTGGGGCTTGCGAGAGATCTGCAGAGTGGAGGTCAAGACATTTGTCTTGCCCATTACTTTACAAACCACAGGAGGGCAAATTCTTCAGCAGGATAGCACTCCTTATACTTCAGCCACCACACCAAAGTTCCTGAAAGCAAAGAACGTCAAGGTGCTCCAGGATTGGCCAGCCCAGTCACCAGAGATGAACATTATTAAGCATGTCTGGGGTGAAATGGAGGAGGCATTGAAAATGAATTCAAAGAATCTTGATTAACTCTGGGAGTCTTTGCAAGAATGCATTTTTGCCATTCCAAATGACTTTATTAATAAGTTATTTGAGTCATTTCAGAGATGCACTATGCACCCACTGCACCATGACTTTATATTCTATACTGTACATTATTTCTGTTAAGTGAAAAGACTTTTGTCTAAGCAAAGTCTGACTTTTCTGTCCTAATTGAATAATTAAAAATCAAGGCATGATCATATTTTGTTTTGGTAAAATAAGCGTATTCTAGAGGCCTTTAGCTTTCATATATACACTACTCCTGATACCAAATGATCAACTCGAAGTCGAGTTATTTTTTTGTTGTTCCTATAACTTGGATAGGTGACAAGACTTTTGTAAGGTAGTGTAGAAAAACAGCTGCTTGTGTTCTTAGCTAAAAAAGTAATGTAACTCATTGTACATTTTTTAAAAGCACTATATACTGCACATAAAAAATATCTAAAAATAACTTTATTCTTATTGACAAACTATTGATATAGTTACTGTAGGTCTTTGTTTTCCTTTTCACATTTTAAAGTCTTTAATAGTGTAATGACTTTTGCTTGTTAAATAACACTCAATGTGTCTTCAGATGTTATATTTAAACTGCGAAAAAAACACATTTAATGTTGACGTAAATGTTTTTTTTTTCCTCATATAAATATCTGAACATCTGTTAAGGTTCATTTATCAGAAGGGTATTGCACAATTTGAATCAAGAAAGGAGGGATACCTAAAAAAGCGCACCTTGACCTAATTTAATCGTGTCCTCCTGGCTTAGTCCTTTACATGTTTGCTGTTCCAGGATGAAAATGAGCAGCTATGTCAAGCCTGATGTAGATAGCCAGGGTAAGTGCACATTTGCGGCAACTAATGATATGACCTACTTCCAGGAACTTTCCACTTCTCTGTTTATCCATCTGATTTTACTGTCCGTTTCTTTTGGCCACCTCCTGTCATTTAAAAGAATATCTCAATCGTGAACATGTCAAGTATAAAAGCCTCGTCCGTTTCGTGGTGTGCACGATGCGCTGCTAGGCGAAAGTATAAGTCAGCCTTAAGATGTTTTTTTTTTTTTTTTTTTTTCTGTAGTTCAATGGTCCATCTAACCTGTTTTTAGTACTTTTCAATTTAAATACATTTACCTCAAATTTTGTGATTTTTGCATTTTGTCTTTGTCTATGCATGTATTTGATATTGGGATATAGGCCTTCAATTTAAAGGTTCAGGACACCCCGGAGAACTTTTTTTTTAAGTTAAGACAATGTTAGCACCTGTCAGCTTTAATTGTGGGGAAAACTGGATAATTTTGAGCTTTTGTCAGCTAGTTTCAGCTTCCGGGTTTAAAATGATTTTTGGGGTGGGATCAAAATTGGCGACGTAGCGCAGAACTGCAAGTGCAATGATGACGCATCGGTTTCTCATTATTATTCATAGCGGAGTTTTCTTATCCTATGAGAAGAGCCGGCTGCTTAATTATTCATGAGACCTGCCAGAGTCAAGCCCGAGCTGAGAGACACGGAAACCACGGCACAGTATTTAGCCGTTCATGAAGGCTCATATGCGTTTGCTTCCATCATCCACGGGGTTTGTTGCATGTTTTCCCCCGCGATCTTGTCGGGGCCGATCATACAGCAAAGCTGTGTGTGCTGCAAGCATTTTTGTCGGGAAAGCAGCACGAGAATTAGAGAATGGCGGACGCTGTCTTTAATCAGGAGTTCGTTCACATTCAGACACATCGCCGTGCTGCTGTGTTTGCCTAAATCCTCCAGATTACCAGCAGGGTTAATGGTTAAAATCGACGGGTCAGGAGACCTGCTGCACTGAGTCTGCTGGATACGGGGATTGAGGGAGAAGTCCTCATTTATAGTGTTTACATGAACACACATCTTTATAATGATATAAATTGTGGTTGTCTGTATATGAAATTACGAATAACAAATTTAGCAGGGCATTAAATCACTGTTCATTTCTTTGCATTTTAATTTTGTAAACTATAAACTCATGCGTCTCCTCTTTGTGTCTCATTTTGTGAGCTAACTGACAACAACAGTTGTTCGCTCCCTTTCTCCCCTGCTGGCCATGCCCACTCCTGCCCGATGCTCGCGGAGCTCCACGCCCATTAATCATGCATCTTTTGAAAAAATTCTGAAGTAGACTTTAACCGAAAGAGGGGGGTGTCATGGCCCTTTAATACCTAATGGTCTTAAAAAGTCTTAAATATGACATTGATATCTGTAGAAACCTTGATTTAGGTAGCATTCAGAAAAAACAAAACACCAGCGAAGAAACTCCACACACAGGAACATAGCAACAGAATTATTGCAGAGCAACAGAAATATAAATGGACAGCAACGCACAAGGCAGACGCTGTGGGTCACGCTGATCATTCGGCGCAGAAGTATAAACTAGGCTTTAGCCTAGTTGTTAGCCTGCTCTGGAGCAAGCTAGCTGCAAAGAATAAATCTCCATGGTAACTTATTTTGAGTCAAGGCTAAATTCAGCCAGGATAGCCTGGAAATCCCAGCTTAATCCCTTATACTTTTGTGCAATAACCCTCTGACATGCAAAATTAATTTATAAAAAGTTTATGCTTCAGACTAGAATCAGTATCTGTAACTGAAATCTATATGACTTTTTTCAGGTCATTTTAAATGTTCTGACCACATTTGTAGATAATTGTTGTTTTAAACTTTATTTTGATCAATTTCACAGAAAACAAGGCTGACTACTTTTTATTAATTTTTTTTTATTTAACTATTTTTGCTTCAAGCAAATGTGTTTTTTTGTGTGGGATGGTAACAAGACGAAAATACTGAGGAAGAATATCATTCTTGTTTAATGTATTGTTAGCAGGTTCAGTCAAGGTCATTTCTGTATTCTAATATTTGGGAGAGGAGTTATTGGTAACCCTTGAAAGCAGTGGTTCTCAATCTCTGTCCTGAAGGTCCGGTGCCCTGCAAATTGTATCTCCAACCCCAATCAGGCCCCGTTTACACTAATGCGTTTTCATTTTGTTAAGACAGTGAAACAGCATAGTCGGGGTGATGTGAATGACTTTAGAAAGTACACTCGGAGTTTGTTTTCTATATCAAACTTGTGAAGTCTGAACTTGCACTGAGAGGATGTAGGACTGAACTGTGTGTAGGCTACTTAATATTGAGGGAAAGGTTCCAATCTGATAGGCGAATGTCAGCAGCCCCGCCTCTGTTTCAGATGTCTCCATTTTCCCCCATCCACACAGAGACGGAGCAGCAGCGTTTTAGAATGAAAACGACCTCTCCATCGTTTCCAAAGGGCTCCGTTTTCAGGGCTCGAAAACTCCTGCGTAGTGTGGACGAATGACATAACCGTAGCAAAACTTAAGCTTTTTTAAACTAAAACGCACTAGTGTAAACGGGGCCTCAGACATACCTGGGCTAGGTAATCAAGCTTTTACTAGGCTTTTAGAAACATCATTTCAGGTGTGTTGAGGCAAGTTAGATCTAAAATCTGCTGGACACTGAACCTCCAGGACTGAGTTTGAGAACCCCTGCTTTAAAGTAATGGTCCATTAGTTAATGTATTCACTAACATGATCAAACAATTTCTTATGGTATTTGTTCATCTTTGCTAATGTTTATGAACATTATTTTAGTTAAACAATGTTAATGTTTTTTTATTTGTACCCCAATTTATTTTTTTTGGTATAATTATGTAAAAGGTTATGCAGAAGTTGTTTTCAGGTTTTGAAATAATTCAAAGACTCGTTCTGTGTATACGTTTATTTAATTTACCTAAAAAGTTTACCCTCTTAATACTTGCACATATCTGTATTTAACATCCATTAACACTTAACTGTAAGAATTCATTAATGTTTAAATTAACTGAATATAAAAAAGTTTAAACACTTAAAACTCAAAGGTAGTTTTTACAACTTATTTGAATTTGTGAACATCATTATTAAAATAATTCATAAAAGCATTTATTATTTTTTGCAGCGTTAATGGATACATTTGCCAAAGTATTTTGAGATGTGGATGCAGTTGTTGCAATTAATTTTATTTAAGTCCAAAATGAAATGCTATTTGAAACTGTTGAAATGGCCTCGTGGCTCAGCTGCAAGTGGAATTCACAGTACGTGGAGTCGGCAGAGTGGAAGCTGCACCTGCTGCTTTAGGGTTAAAAGTAGAAACCAAGTTTGGGCCAAATATAAAAAAATGTCCCCCCACCCAGGAACACGATTTTAAGCACTCTGCAGTTGATCATTTGACGTGTGTTACTAGCAACTTGATATATAATGAAATTAAAGCCGGAGGTTCTTGTCTGTCTAAGGAGTTTAAGACGGGACTTATCAGTTGGTAACTTGATAGTTTGCATGTCCGTTGCTCTTTTTCATTTTACTCCATCTTTACACAGGTCTCGTTCCCATCGAAGTTCTCGAAGACATTACAGTCGATCACGTTCACGCTCTTATTCTCGCCGAAGACGTTCACGCAGCCGCTCATACAGCAGTGAATATCACCGCCGCCGCAGCAGTCACAGTCACTCTCCCATGTCCAACCGCAGACGACATATTGGTGACCGGGTAAAGACCATGCCATTGTTTTTGGATGCCCATTTTTTTGGTACTGGTATGTTGTAATAGGTTATGTTTTCTTTCTATTTCTTTAGGCAAATCCAGACCCAAACTGCTGCCTGGGAGTGTTCGGATTGAGCCTGTACACCACAGAGAGAGACCTGAGGGAGGTCTTCTCTAAATATGGCCCTCTGAGTGATGTGTGCATTGTGTACGACCAGCAGTCACGGCGCTCCAGGGGTTTTGCTTTTGTCTACTTTGAGAACAGAGAAGATTCAAAAGAGGTGCATTTTCCACTTGAAAAAATGACAAAACGATGACATGATTGCATAATGACAATTTGGCTACAGAATTTGTGTTTAAAAGGGTGGTTCTTTTGAAAATGAAATTTTGCAGATAATTTAGGATGCTTCCTAGAGTTCAATTTGATGTGGTTTGTTTTGGCAGGTGTGAATGCAGCAATTGCGCTCTAGAGCCCACTAAAACGAGAGCAAACAAGCGTACTGAGATCTGGTGGTCTCCACGCTTTCAAACAAACACTGGAGTAGTTTGTTTGTGGTGATACCATTAGCTTAAATAGATGCAACTTTAAAGTACTGTGCATTTTTGGACTAAACTAGCCTCCGTAGGTAGCTGCGATGTATTATGGAGTGAGGCCAAGTATTTGTTTACAGTGCATTAGCAACAGCTAAATTGTAGCTTGCGGGTACATTTTTTTAAGTGACTGCTGATACGCCTTTAGCAATTTGCTCTATATTAATACATTTTGAAGCTGCACCCGCACTTAATTTTTGAAATTTTATGGTTTGTATGAAGTTAATAAAATTATATTAGGGAAGCCCTAAATTTTTGGCTGCTGAAAATTATCAACAGAAAATTGGCCAAAAATATGACCCAAAAACAGAGTTATTAGGCTGTGCTGTGCGTGAGCTGGTTTTACTTTCCTTTTCAGCTGTAGACACTGCATACCGGAAGCAGGAAGCACTGCTCTATATAACAAATCTATATAACTTTGGCTTGTGTTTTTTGAAATGGGTATAATCAACGTTGGTGTTTCTTAACTATGTTTCTTGAATCATTTCCTATGTCTCCTTAACCAAACACGCCTGATTCGCATCATCAGCTCATTGGCAGAGACTGAAAGACCTTGCATCATCCCCATTTGCATGCCATGCATCATAAAAAGTATTTGAAAATAGAATTTCTTCCAACAATTATGTCCCAAACTGTAGCATGTTGAAAAGAGTATGCCGAAGGTTCCTGAATTGTCTGCAAATTTCTGTAGAAATTAGAAGTGTAGAATCGTCCATACTCTATCTACTAATATTGCCCACAAAACTTTGCACATTGGATGTAAATTCGTTTAGAACTAAACATTTGGGGAAACTTGTGTTTGTGTGTGAACAAACTACAAAAATGGTGGACATGGACACATGAAATCAACTGTCAAGTAGAGCCACTTTGGTAAAATTGTTTAAATGACTGTCAATATCTAGCCCACTGGAAAATATTTAAATCACAATTTCTGTGTTATATTTAATCTGCAACAAAATGAACCTCTAAAGAAACGTATTTGAAAATAAACTTCAGAATGTATAATAATCCAAAGACCTCAGGAGATTCATCTGCGTGAATAACTCATGGCAGCAGGTTAGTCTGCTATTAGAATCTCCAATAAGATAGGAAATTTAATATGAAAGGAATGTGGATGATATGTGTAGATGATTGACGGGATGTAGCCAAGCAACATAATGGTCCGTTAATAAGAAAGTAGTATGTCCCAAAGTTTGCATACTTTGTTAAAGTATGTACTTTTTCTTCACATAAAAAGTACATACTTTTAGAACATAGTACAAGTTTGCAATTTGAAAATAATTTTCCTCTAGAAACGTGGCAAAGAAACGCTGATCCTAGTTGAGTTAAATTGAAAAAGGCTTACAAAATAATTATTTATTATTTTAATATTATTCATTTTGTGGCCAAGTGCATTTTGTGAAAGCACTCTGGATTACTAGCTAAGGCAGTTGATTGGAGGAATGTGTTCATTTTTTTCACGGACTCTTTGATTCATTGATTTAGCCAACAACCATAGTTTCAACTAAAATTCTTAAAGCTTCTACTGAAGATTCACCTTCATCTTTAATGGCAAGTAAATTAACAAGTTACATTTCACAGTGAGCTATACGTGTAATAAAATGTCTGCTGTCATGTGAATGGATTTGCCTAAATTGAAAGGCTGCTTTGTTTATAAACTATATTCTGCTCTTCTATTCTATCTTCTGAAATACTTTAGAAAGTGAAACAGGAGTTTTGTACGTGTCTGTATTGGTCATACTTTGACATGCTTTTTTTGTGAGCAGTGAGGTTGCATTATGTATTTTATCGAAGTACAGTACAGAACATACTGTTCCTGCAGCTCTTTTATGGCCTGCCATAAAGCCATACCTGGAGTTAATGTTCTTTTGGATGCTATTGTGTGCTCAGTCAGTGTGGCTTATTCTGGCTTGTTTTGGTTCTAGGCTAAAGAGCGTGCAAATGGTATGGAGCTTGATGGCCGAAGAATCAGGGTAGACTACTCCATTACCAAGAGGCCACACACACCTACTCCTGGAATATATATGGGCAGACCAACATAGTGAGTGTGATTGATTTAGTCTGTCTCTTCCCAAATGACTCCTCTGATGAACGCTCATCACTGTGGATGTAGTGTCTGGTTTTGTATCGTAAGTGCTTCAGTGATCAATGTTAAGTACAAATAATATAAGTATATATTTTTGTCTCTCGTGCAGTGGTGGTGGGCCAAGTGTAAGCCGTCGGCGGGATAGCTATGATCGAGGGTATGAACGTGGATATGATCGCTATGAAGACAGAGACTACTACAACAACAGGTCATACAGCTGACCCTTACTGTTAAGCAGTCTGTATGATGCGTTTGTATTGACATCCCATCATAATGAAGGGCTCAACACTGAGGATTGTCACGTTACACTACAAAACTTTTATTGCATTAAACATACTGTAAAATGTGGGTTCATTACCATTTGTTTAGCTTATTCAAACACTAGAATTGGCTGCAAAAATGTATTTCCTTTTAAACAGATATAAATCTGATCTTCAATCTTGTGCTATAAGCCAGTTTATCTAGGTTTTGTTAACAAAAATGTCATATACATAGCCTTTTATTTAATTATTATAATTTTTATTACAGAAATGTAAGCTGCAGATCTTATTCTGCATACAAATCATTTTATATGTAGGCTGCAGGTGTCTGTACTTCACTGCTTTGATTATTGCCCATTTTCTGGTCAGAAAACATGAATGAAGTGAACAGGTGTAAACGGCTTCTTTTTCCACATTTAAAAATGCATTTCCTTTCAGTGTTTCCACCTTGTGGACAAACTAAGCAATGCAATAAGAATTCAAGATTATTGTACGAATGCAAAGTTTGACAAGAAAATCAAGCTGTTTTACGTACAGCAGGTGTGTTTCGTTCCAATAACTTTCTTTGTGCACTGTACTTGGTAGATTAAAGTAGGCTCATACATTGAGTTCAAGTCGGGCTTGGCAATTAATCAAAAAGTAATTGAAATCGACAATCAGAACCTATAATTGATCTAATTTTTTCAAGGCAATTTTTTCTTATTACTCTCTCTACTATGTGTGGAGTCACATGACCTTGCTCTGTTACTGTGCGTTCACATTGAAAGCAGCGAGAGCGCCAAAGGTTCCTCCTGACGCCCTGGCGACAACGCTGTCTACCTTCAGCTCCTGCGGTGAGAGCATCAAAATTCGCTACATTGATCTCGTATTTAAAGGAGCTGTTGCAGCATATCCTATCAGTTACATTCGTGCATAAAACGTGCTTTTTAGCGTGAAGATGCTGCACAATTATCAAATTCATTTAATTATAGAAGATAAAGTTGCATGTGGTGTGGCTTTGCTCCACTAAATTATCCAATGTTTCCATGTGTCTGAAATATCTTGAAGCAGCAATACTGTTTTGTATATTTGGAAATCCGGTTACCGCAAAAATCAAACGATTGGGAACAACTGTGGTCGGAACCCAAGTTCACAGTGGCTATGTTCTCTGGACTCCTCTCAAACGGTAGACTTCTACATACCGATTGCTTGCCGCCGAACCGCGTAATAGCTCATTACCATAAAGTTGGCTTGATTTCAACTCACCTCAACGCCCACACCGGCGAAGAGGTGCCGCGCTGCTCCTTTCTGCCGGCTCCCATTGAAAATAAATGACTTCCAGCTACTTTGACACTCTCGCCGCTTTTGGTGTAAATGTACAGTTAAGGCTAGAAACACAAGGTACGGTCTTGCGCAGCCTTCACGTGTTCAATACTCGTGCACCTCTCAAACAACTTAACTACACCTCTCAAGTTTGCACTACACTGACGATGATTGGAAGCTGCTCTAGAGATGGCATAATTTCCATTACAATAAAATGATTTGTTAATACTTGTTTACAGAAGATTCAATAAATATACTGTATAAAATCATTTACGGGACATTCAAGAGTTGTTTTATTTAGCAAAGATATTGCAAATCTACTTTTACTATTAAAAATGTAACATTAAAAATCAATAATTTGCTTTCCAAAAGTGCAAGTTATTTATTCACTTTTATTACAAGAAAAACATGACTGTTGGTTTTAGGCAATGTGTGTTTTAATTTCAGTTGTTCAACGTTGACGTTCAATAATCATAGATGGCAGATTTCTTCTTTCTATTTTCTTCAATTATTTTTAAATCAAGTAATGCACCCTCTATTCACAAGTTTCTCACTTATAATATGTGAGCATATTTGCTGTACAAAACTTATCATATAAAGTAAAAGAATAGTTTATTAATCGTAATCGAGTTAAAATGTTCAACTAATAGAGATTTTGAATTTAGGCCAAATCGCCCAGCTCTAGGTTCAAGGCATGTCTGATGATGCCACTGATCAGATGTAAATGACTGTGGTGTTATCCGACCCTACAACATCAGTCCATCCTTATTGTTGAGCCCTGGTCCTGCAGACAGAGTTGCAGAAGTTCATATTACATCCAGCAAGATATTGCATATCATATGTGCTTTATTTTAACTATTCAGCATGCTACAGTTTTGAATGTGACCTGCTTTACCATTAAAACTCTTCTCCACTTTCTGTTTACAGGAGAAGATCCCCGTCTCCTTACTACAGCCGAGGACCGTACAGGTCAAGATCACGCTCTCGCTCTTACTCTCCTCGTAAGTATTACACAAAGGGCATCGTGATAATCTTGAAAGCTAGTCCCTTGTGTTTTCTGCTTTGCTGTTCTGGAGTGTTTAACTTCCAACATTGTGTTAATTATACAGTGAACTGTGACAAGCAAATGAAAGCCTTCTTATTTGTTTTTCCAGGTCATTATTGAAGTGAAGTTCAGCTCCTCTCTTGAAGATGACTACAATATTGTTGATGACGTAGATGTTTATTTCTGGTGGCATGAGTCTCGATGTACTTTTCCTTCGATTTTCTTGCCTAAAGGTTTCATGTGTCTTTGACTGATCTGGATGTTTCATTAGTGGGATGAATATTTTTGCACTGTTGTTGAGTTTTTGTTCATTTTTTTTTTTTTTCGTTCCCGATCTGATGCTAAACTTGCGTTTGTTTTATAATATGATGAAGTGTTCGGCTCACATCCCCGTATGCTTTTTCGCATTTTAAGCTTAGCAGTGGTCTTGCAATAAACTGCTTTATACCTCCCACCTGGTGCAAGCTTCTTCTCGAACCACTCAAAACATGAAATATGGATGATTCAGACCTAAAGGATTGAACCTAAAACCTTGAGAATGGCCACGAGCTGTTGTCTTTAAGTGAGGAGAGACTTTACTGCAGATTTACAGACAACGTTTATATAATGCATACACTCATCCTCTCGAGGCATTTGCCTTGAACTGCAGTGAAATTAATAGGTTTATCAAATAGGAATGGAAGAACAGCAGTGCCTAAAAGAGCCCTGTTCCAATTTAAGTCCCATTACCTCAGAGGATATATCGTTAATAATAGGATCATCTGGAATATTTCTCCAGTATGTGTTAAAAATGTAGCTTCGAGTACTCTGGGATTTGGTATTAATTTGGACATGATGTGGGTGTTTGCATTGGCTGACCAATCTGGAATTTCTTTTTACTGTAAGGTTGCTGAAGGGATTGAAATTGTCCTTCTGAAGTTCTTCAATCTCTATGCACACACTGTAACTAGTCTCAGTTTGGTTAAAGATTATGCTTCAAGTAAAGATTTGCTTCTTGGCTCTACTGCATTTAGACATCCATAATTTTGCAGGGTCTGATCTGAAACTATAAGTAATGTATGAGATTCAAGAGAAGTCCTCAGGATGCTTCAATACAGAGCGGTCCTGCACTGTTGAATAGGCATTAGAAATACAGAAATCACCAGAATTCTACAGGCCCCGTTTAAGGGTACTTTCTATTTACTAGTGCAGTCAGTTTAAATAAAATCAGAATTATTGAATCTATACAGTGCACAGCATAAATACACCCTTTTTGAAAATGTAATTTATCAGTGAATGAGAAACGTTTGTTGCATTTTTACAACATTTTAATTTGTTGTAGTTTAATTTGTTTCTTTAATAAAAAACATTCATTAACACAAGTGTGGTCACTTAACATCTTTAGGATATATAATAACAAATAATATTAATTTCTTACATTATTCCTTACATTTTCTGGACACTCAAAGTGCTTTACACATTTTTGGGGGCAATCTCCTCATCCACCACCAATTTGCAGCATCCACCTGGATGATGTGATGGCAGCCATATCGTGCCAGACCACACACCAGCTGATTGACGAAAAGGAGACCAAGTGATGAGGCCAATTATGATAATAGGGATAAATAGGAGGCCATAATGAACAGAAAGCAAATATGGCTCATCCGAAGGACAGGACTCACTGCGTAGTGTAGAGGCCCCTTCACTATACTGGGGCATTACTCCCAATTCACATGGGGCGTCAGCTTTAACACTTCCCATTCACTTTGAATGAGTGACGTCAGTCATTGCCAAACTGCTTTGTGGATCTGGGCTTGCTGCAGAAGTTGGGACTTTCAACTTTTCAAGCGCAGATGAAAGCACTAGCCAATCAGATCGCTGTATGCAAATCACTGGCTGAAGCTGATGTCAGCCATGTCAGCCCCAACCTCAACTTCTGTCAAGCGTGGACGCTCCCTGTGAATGGGGCATTATTACCCGCACAGACCACCGGTTGAGCGCCCCCTGCTGGTCTTACTAACACCACTTCCAGCAACAACCTAGCTTTCCCATGGGGTCTCCCATTCAGGTACTGACTGCGTGCAGTTCTGCTTAGCTTCAGTAGGCGACCATGTGAGATTGCAGTGAGCTAGCTGCCGGCTAATATAAATTTAAAAGGTGTCATGATTGCACTCTACACCTAAATATATTTTGTTCTACCTTGTTTTTTACTGCTAATTACATTCCTATTTTATGTTTTATCCTCACACAGAGCAAGTTAGATTAGTACTTGTTACTGATTACAAGTAGTTATGTAATCTAGATTAAACATCGAAGTAATCGGATTACTTTTGACCTAACATCAAAAAGAGTTCGCTGTTTTGTCATATTGATGTAAACAAACACGCTAAAACGAAAATGCATTATCAGTAACAACGTGTATTAAACATCAATTGATGTGTCTGTGAACTGATTATAAAACAAAATGAAATTCAAATAAAAATATTTTGCTTACCTGAGTATTATGTGACAATTATTGATAAAAATGTTACATTAATAAATTATTAACTTAAAATTGTTAAAATTGTAATTACATTTTCAGGGATAAGTTAAACATTGTAGGTCTAAGGTTTAGCTGGACAAAAATTTGGCAATTTCTCTTTTACAACAACTATAAACACACTGAAAAACAATATATTCAAAGAATATTGCTTGGATTTGCACGTTTTTACATTTGTGAGTTTGTATTCAACGCATATAAATTGTTTGCAACTATTTTGTAGAAATCATGAATAAGCATGTAAATCAGGGGTCCCCAATCTCGGTCCTGGAGGGCCGGTGTCCCTGCAGGGTTTAGCTCCAACTTGCCTCAACACACCTGCCTGGATGTTTCAAGTATACCTAGTAAGACCTTGATTAGCTTGTTCAGGTGTGTTTGATTAGGGTTGGAGCTAAAATCTGCAGGACACCGGCCCTTCAGGAACAAGTTTGGTGACCACTGATGTAAATGATCCAGCAAGACCAAAGTCTTTAAGGTTTTTAATGGTTTAGAATTTATAATTGTTAAATGACACCTAAATCATAGCATGCAGTCATAAAAACTGTTCAAAAAAAAAAAAAAAAAAAGTAACTGTCTATGCTCATTCATGCCTGCTTTTTAAAAGTGTGATGTTACCTTATCACACACAGGTACAGCATGATAAAAGCTCAAATATCAAATCTGTTTATATCCCAGATCAATGAACCAGTGCATTGTATTCATATATAACGCGCATGCTTTTCCTAAATCACAATTCCATAAGGTTTCTCCACATTCCTGCTTCTTCTCCATAGACGTGGGCGTTTCCAGAGAAAGTCCCATTTTCCAGCTGCTATTCTCCTTGGAGTCTGTGCTTACTGTTTTACAGTCGCAATTAGTAATCGCAGATGAAATAAAAAACGAATGTAAAACAAACATTATTCTCTCAAGGGAAAACACCCGTCAATCCACGACCCCCTGAAGATGCCGTTTGAGCTGTCAGTCACACTGAAATGACTGTTTATTAACACGCCATTAAAATGAGTTGAACATGATCTTTCTGAGTGGATTTAAATGAACTAAGCCTTCTCGCGCTGCCCACTTTATAGTCTCATCATTATGCCTCAGCCGTGATTTATGCTGGCAAATTGAACGCCGTACGGCAATCCTAGGCCATAAACACCTCAAAAGTAATTTTTGTGATATTTAAGAGCGATTTTTGTTTAGAGGCGGCGCTTGCTGGCAACAGAGTAACGTCGCAACGCCACTTTTTTCAATCCCAGTAAAAGAGTTTGAGCAGGAGCAGAGTTGTGTATATGTAGCAGGGGGGTCCGGCTGCATCTGGGGGGTGACTGCTGATTTTCAGCGCATTTATTTTATTTTATTTTTTCTATTTTAATTTCTCATTCTTTTCCTTCGGGAAATCCACCGCACGCGCGCACACGCTGATATATATTTTGGACGTACACATTTCTCGTGTAGACCATGAACAAACTCTATGTGGGCAATCTGAGTCCTTCGGTGACCGTGGAGGACCTGAAGCAGCTCTTCGGCGAGAGGAAGCTGCCCGTGACCGACCAGGTCCTGCTCAAATCCGGCTATGCCTTCGTGGACTTCCCCGACCAGAACTGGGCGATTAAAGCCATCGAGACGCTCTCCGGTAAGTGCGTTTTTCCTCCTGTTCTACACAGGTCGCCTTTTTATACATACACGTACATGACAGCGTGAAAGACTTTCTTGGAAAGGAAAAGAAAAAGTAAGGCTCGCGCATCTGCTCCAGTTCTTGTTGTTCGCGCGCGCGAATGAACGCCCGCGAGCTCAATCACACGCGCGCTCGCCTCCGCTACACAAGTTGTATTTATGCTCGAATTCTTCAAAAGCACGCTCGTTTCGCCAAGCCGGGCTGATGAACGCCTGCGATTTTCCAGCCGTCGGCCCATAGGAATGTGTCGGATGGCTCTGATGCTCGGGTGGCAGGCGTAATTATTTTTCACTTATTTTTTGTCTTGATTTTATTGAAAAGAAGCGAGCGCACTGAGCGAGGAGCCGCCGTCACATGCGTGTTCCTGTGGTGTCCAGGTATGTTTTTACGAGGTGTCTTGAAGGTGGGTGATGGGGGTCTGGAGGAAAGTGCTAATAAACAGGTAGCTGGGGGGGGACGGAGGTGAGATGCCAATTTTTGTGCTGCGCCAGGCCACTCACACACAACAGATGCACAGCACCTCTCTATTCTCCTCACAGGCTGTGCGTGCGACCGAAAAAGTACTCATCCAAAGCTACTCGGAGACATTTAGGCAGAAGAGTCTTATCCTTTGACCTCCCGTTCTTCAAACTCTCCTCATCGCTCGTATGTGCGGTTACAGTGGGAGTGGGAAGCATGGCTGCCCATTCTTCATATCGTATCAGCTCATCAAACATTTCGCTTAATAACATCGTCAGGCATGATGATAATAAGAAATGTGATCAAGAAAATACACCTTACACGTTGACACGGGTAAACTCACCACGTCGCCGACGTGCATTTATAAGCACGTGCGATTGTGCCGCACGTATTTACGCTGCACGCACGGTTGTTTGTTTCACAAATAATATGATAAAAAGCTGATATACAGCAGCTGTGATTGTTCATCTGATCATTTGTTTTGTTTCCTGCTCGCAGGGAAAGTTGAATTACATGGGAAAGTGATCGAGGTCGACTACTCTGTTCCTAAAAAATTGAGGTAATATTTTTGTTTTTGTTTTATGTATGTGCATTGAAATGCAAAAAGTATCATCTCTGCTAAATATGGAAGTTAGTGCTGCAGTTAGCTATGATGTGCATGTTGTGAAATCTATTTGTAATAGACATCCTTTATTTTTTTTGCTTGTTAATTGCCTGTCCATTTTGTTTTCTATTTCGTATGTGAAGTAACTCTTGTTGTTAATGTGCTGTTGATTTTTCTGTTTTGAAAACATGTTTACACCTTTAATTCCTTATCGCAAACATATCCTCTGATTTTTTTCTGGCGTGGAAAAAAATAAAAACAACAATATTGATATTGGGTGTTTCCTTGCAAAACACGGCACACATTATGTCTTACAAAAATCCTTTTCACGGAGTGCCTTGCGTCAATAAAACAAATTAAAAAATGCTTTTAAACACACTCAAAGGGTGAAATCACGCCTTTATTTTCATTCTGACGCTTGAATCGCAGGATCATTGTGTTCATGACCTCATGGCGCGTGTTTAGGCCTTTCCGTGCCCACGTGATTTCCCCTATAGGCCCTGTGTGTGTGTGCTCCACGCGAGGGCGCATAGAAATGGTTGGAGTACAGCCCACAACCTTGAGATTTGAGGGCTTATGTAAAATTACATGTGCAGAATTATAGTTTACACCAAAAACACGCATGTTACGACGTCTCCTCGCGAGGCAAGTCGTCACACACAACGCCTGAATCGAAAATAATCATTACTGCTAAGGCGTGAATGCATTCATCCCCCAAGCATGTATGTTAACACAGGGTCTGTGTCGCCTCAGAGGGTCGCATGTTCCTCGGATAGCGGGTTGCATAAAGTGCGCAGTCAAGATGGCCAATCTTTGATTTTGGAAAGAGTCGGCCATGCTGCTGCTAGAGTCAACCTAACATGACTGAAAGCAGCATGCATGAGCACAACGAGTGTGTGTTTATGCGTGTATGTGTGTCTCTCATTCTGGAAGGTTTCTAGAGCTGCTTCTAGATTCATATCTGAAATCTGAGGCGAACTAAAGAGCCTCAAATTACACATGTACAATTTCTGGAGGTGTTTATGTTGGATTAAGCGAAACACATTAGGCGCGTGTGTGTTTGTGTTTTTAAATGTGGTTGATGTACAAACCGTTCGTGATTTCGGTGGTAATTTATATTAGTGTGGATTTTACTGTGCATTTTTGTCCGTGATGCTTGTTTGCTGTAACTACGTGACGTAGTTCAATTGTTACTGCTGTAGCTACTGTGTAATTGAGAGGTGTTCTCCATATTTCACTCAATCCTTTGTGGGTTTTATGTTTATTGCGGCTAAAAGGTGTGTTCTTATTTGTATGCTTAATTTTTGTATTCATGCTGTGGTTGATTGCTTTAAAAATGACCAGTTTGTTAATTACAGCTGAATTGTTTATTTCACTGCTATTGATCACAGAATTAAAGAAAGTAAAAGCTATTTAGCTTAAATCATAATTTAAGATTTTTATACAAGTAACAGTTTTGTTTACAAAATTGTTAGCTTCATTTTAATCGAAAATAATTAAAGAAAAGCCTGCACATCAATCTCAACTGGGTGCTCAGACAAACAAAAAGAATGCAAATGTAAATGAAAAAGGAGAAACAAAAAGCCCCAAAATTATCAAATTTATTCACTTAAAAAGCCCCTTTTCAAGTAAATAAATTTAATACTTTATAAGCTTTTGCTGTTGCTCCTTTTTCAATTATATTAAATAAATTTTATTCAAATTTACTTAATTATTTAATTGTGTTGAAGTTATTTAACACTGCAAAGCCTTTTTATCTAAAATACTTTACTAAAATAAATAAATGCTAAACAAAAATGTTTTTAGTGAACTGCCTGTCTTTAGAAGACATTCACTTAAAAATACTAAACTAAACAGATTAAATCAGCCTACACAAGTGGATGATTTAATTTCAATGTCTATTGCATTTGTTGAACAGATCTACAGAAGTAATTTAAATGCTTTTTCATTAAGCTTGTTGTAATGTACTATATAAATAAGTAATGTCACGTGTAAATGCTTGTAATACTGCATGTACAGTAATGTTAAAAAAATAAAACTGACCACATGTAGTCTTTAAGAAAATACATTTCACATTTAAAACATTTTGTTTTTGCTCAACTAGATCTGTAAGTTATTAACTGTTGTTTGATCAAATACGCCAGTGATCTGTCTATACTCTCGGTGGCCCATTGCTTTTTAGGCTTTCTCAAATTAAGCTGTAAAACAGGTCAGACCAGGATTTCGTGGAAACTGCTTTTAAACTTTTGAACCCCTTTGCCTTTTATCTGAACATTGAGTTAACCGTCTTAAAATTATTCCAAAATATTACACGTTTTTAGGTAGATAGTATTATAAGTATTACCATACAGTTACTGTTTTTGTGTATATTAGCCTAACTTGAATTATGAGAATGAAAATAAAGAAATAATTTTTGTGAACTGGATTTAGATATAAATTATATATTATGTATTATATTATAAATTATATAGGCTATAAATTTAGGGCAAAATGCACATTTTATTTCTGGCAGTTTGTGAAATATCTGTTGCAGTGGTTTTATACATTTTCTTGAATAACAGCTGTGCTTCCCATTGATGTATGTTGCTTCTGGATTCCTACATTTGTGGCTTACAAGCAGTGCTTTTCTAAGCAGCCGGTGCCTTTTTCAGGATTCTCTCTGTTTGTCTGTAATGTTTTATTTTGGAATCTTGTGTATTTGCAGTAGGGGAGTGGAAGTTTGAGACGATATGCAGCAGAGCTACATATGATACAGATGGCATTTTATGCTTTAAGCAGTTCTAAAATAATTACATTTGAATCCGTTTTAAATGACACTATTTTATAGTGCATTTTAAAATGTTTAAAGCACATTTCAGTGTTTTCAAAACTGATCCGAAATGTTGTCCAAATTCATCCTAATGTGCTTACAGTTTACCTATGATTTAATAGCTTGTTTTTATTACTGTGCAGTTAGTTTTGGAGTACGTGCTAGAAAAGAGCAATTACGAATAAATCTTTAATTTATATCCTTGTCATGTGACTTTTTTTTGTTGAATTTGTTCAACAGTCTGGTTTCTCAACCACCCAGGAAGATTTAGACATATTTCCTTTTTTTTTATTTGTCATATCCTGTTTATATACCAATGTACAGTGATATTTTAATCATCTAGTTTGTTAGGAACAAGTCTTTTTGTTACTGATCTTTTAAAATGACCAGTGAAGTTTTGAAGCTTGCAGTACAGATATTCATATTTACATACTAGTGTATTGAACAAATATGAATTGTTGGCATTAAAGTAGCTCAAATTCTGGATATCAATTAAATTTATTACATGTATAAATTGTGTGAAGTTGTTACTTAATGGTTTTGCTTTATGGTACATTCAGATAATTGTTTCTGAATTAATAGATAAGGCAGATTAAAATTAGACACTCCTATGCTTTATTTATCAGTTCATTTCTCTTTAACAATTTAATTCTGTGAAAGGATACATTGTAGATTTGATAGCTATAAAGTCTGCCACCTGGTTCAAATGAGTTTCTCTATCGGCTCATGAGTTGAATAAATTGAGATGGAGGACAGAAGAGTAAAGTGGAAGCTGTAAAAGTGGGTTATGAAGTCGAACTCTCAATAGAAAACTAGTCACAAATCCCAGGAGCATTACTTTATTAGTTTGGTGTAGTAATAACCTTGCCTCCCTTCAATCACAGCTTTATTTCTTTACACTATGGCAAGCAAATTAACTCTGATAGATTTGTGAAAATCATAAAAGATCATTAAAAAAAGACTTCAGATGCTTGTCAAATTTCCAGTGGTCATTTTCTGGAAATGGTACGCAACGAATGCAGTGCAAAAAATATCGGTTTTGTTATTATTTTAGATGCTTTTAGGATTACTGCATCAGCCCTGACATTATTTGTTTTCATGAACGCATCAGTGATATTCAAACTCTGAATGAATCAAATTCAGTGCATTCTCTCCTGTTCTCCATTCATGCATTTAAAATGCGCCTGTAAGTCCGTGCTCAGACTGAATATCAAATGATTTGTTCACTTTAAACTCTGTATTTGTCCAAGCTGAGTTTCAGATTTACATCAGGCACATCAGATTACCCATATTGGCTTGTCAATACTTTGTTTTACCTCATAAAGGGATTATCTTTGAACGCTAAAAAGAAATCACAGAAACTTCATGCACATCAAATAGATTTCCCTGTTGGATGTAAATACACCATCAGTCAAGTGCAGTGTTATAAATAAATCAAATCCTCTACATTGATGCATTTTCATGCGGTGTTACTGTACTTCGTTTTCCTCAATGTCCTCTGTAACCTCGCCTGTCTTGAGATTAAAATACTGTAACGCATAATTCCTCATTTGTTAATCCTTTTATCGCTATAAAGGGGCAGAAGGAAGAAAGGGATTATATCATAAAGAATGTGAGAATGATTGTCGTCGAAGCTTTTATGCTGTAATCTCCTCTGGAGGAGCTTTGGCTGCTCTCTTCACTGCCTCTTATCAAGTGTTTGTTTGTGGACTAGCAGGCTAATGATAATGTTTCTCATTTGTTGAAGAAAAGGTCTGTTTTGGTTTGGGGTAGTTGTTGAACCTGTACACAGGTGTAATGTGTTTTAATCATGTGCAGTGTCGAGTGATTTTTGCTCTGAAAGTTAGTTATCTGTATCTCATTTGCTAGCTAGATTGTTTGTTGTCATTTGTATGCTAGCTGACCATTGTCTGTAACCGTCCATATGGTGAGAGGAAGTGCATGAAAGGTGTTGGGTTGTAATCTCTGTTGCTGTTCGTACAGTAAATCTCAAACGTAATCTATGTCTGTCTCGATCTCACTGCATTTAGAAAAAGGCTGCAGGCTGTTGGGGTTGAGAGTGAAAAGGTTTAATATGAATTGACACTTTTTCCAAAACAAATTTCCATCATTTGGTTTGTTTGAATTAAGGTTTAAATTTGGCATG